AGGGCATGCAAGATTATTGTCTCCCCTTCCTACTACACATATCAAGAAGCGCTCAACACACTGACCCTCTCGGCTCTCTCTGACCATCACCACGACCTCATCTGCAAATTTGGTGAGAAGCTTCTGCACCATCCTCGACACCTGCTCCTACTACCACCCGAGATCCCTCGTCCACATTGCTGTTCGATACCACAACCGCATCCAGCCCATACGAGCACAAACTGATCGCTATAAGAACAGCCCAGTCCCAACCATTGTAAAAAATTATCAATAACTTGTAATCAATCAGTGTATTCACTCCCAGTCAATCTTACCTTTTTGCACTGTCACTATGTTGAAATGCCCTGTAGTATGACCTCCCCACCTAGTTATTATAGATCATATTTGTATCACTTATGTTACTTGTATATTATTTGTCAATCAAGTGACCCATTCCCCAATTATGCAACTGTATATTTTCAGCCTTATGGCTGCCATGCTCTTTCAATAAACCGTTAATTATTACACACACACACTCCAATAGCCTGAATTGAAGTCAGCCTGAAAATTTTCTGGAAAAATTATCTCAATTCCAGGTCTGCGAACAAGTTTCTGGGGATGAAAATCAGCTTTATTTTCTGAAAAATTCCAAGAAAATCTCTCCATTCTGGGCCTGGGAACAATTTTCTGAGAGACTGCATCATGCTCCAACACATCCCCACATGCCAGGCTCATGGATGGCCTAGCTGCTTGGAGCTTTAGTTCATATTCTGCTGCCATTGTAGACGGTTGGTTCCTCTCTAGCTACTGTTTTGGCATACATTTTGTGTTGTGCAGTGCAGTACATTACTGTACCAGGACACAATCAGCCAACAGTACAGCGTTAAGACGTAAAAAGTGTTTACAGTTACATATACTGTAGATGTATCCCTCAAGATATGAAAGGGTTAGGTAAAAAAAAAAACATTCATAAGGTGAATAGACAAACAGGAAAAATAGGATTCAGTTCCCTAATAGCAAAAATACCCCAACATCATACACCAGAAACTCAAAATTGGTACACAAACAAGGACAAATCCTACCAAACTAATGATTAACTAGTACACAACTACCATAAATTTACTACCGAACACAATAATAGAAATACTGTTTAACTTTGGTACATTACATTATGGGAGGGCAGTCTGAACTCGCCTCCACAGTGGGATGGGCTGAGTAAGGTCTTTAACTCAGTGAGAAGAGGAGGATTGTTTACCTCATCACTGTTACACTGGAGTGGAAGAAAGTTGTGACCACAGTAGAAGCAGCTATCACCACATTCATGATAATGACCTCCAACTTTGTCTCTAGATTCACAGCCTTTCGTGGTTTCTTTGGTGTAGTACAGGTAACTGAAGGTCCAGCAGAATGGGTATAGAGAGATCACACACACAAATGGAAGGACGTGGACTTCTGGGAGATGCAGGAGGGAGTGGGGGTGTGATCAGTGAGTAAGGATACATCTCTGCACATCTCTCCCCATGATGTCCGCGCCAGCTGACTGCGGTGCGTGAAATTTTAATTTTAGCCCGGACCCAATTTTGTATAAGCAAGGGAATCTTTCATTTATTGAAATAGTAGCGTCAATTTAGGACATTCATATAAGCAAATGTTCTTATTGCGAAGGATAACTGTATTGTATATTCAGTAAGTGTGAAAGTAGATCATGCAGGAATGGGAAATACTGGAGCACTTTAAAACTTTCATCTTTATTCAAGACAACTTCAGGGCAGGTCAATATAAGACCCACTAATCCCCTATCACACCTCTTTCACAAGTGTAACACATAAAAAGTGATTACAGTTCAGTATTATGTACAGCCCCCCAAAAACAGTATTGTTAGATTTTCCGTCGCTACAATTTGAAACGCTTGACGAAATGCTTTGATATGATTCTCAGTGCGTCATCATAAGCTGGTACACTTGGTCACCATATGAGTAACAGCTAGAGGTGGGGGTAGGAATGGGGGGAAGGAGTTGTCCTTGTATGGTGCACTGAATACTTCAATATAACAAGAAATCCATTAGCGTGCATTGTGTATCATGCTGGGTAGAAACAAGGCATATGTTAACAAGTTGCCGATGGTCACTTCACCATTAGGTACTAATTCGTCTTTTAGTTGTACTAACGGAGTTTCACATTCTGCTTATTCCTGTTGCTCATGATATATCTGATTTATGAAGAGTGACTAAGCAAATAGTACACTAAGTCATCGCTTAATGTCGTGATTCCATTCCTGAAAACGGCGACGTTAACGGAATCAATTTTCCCCATAAGAAATAGATAAAATAAGTATTGTTACATTGGCAAAATGTTATTCAAGTACAGTAGAAGAAAAATTATCCAAAGTTCAATGTACTAAAGTCAAAACGTATCTCATTCATAAAGTACTGAAATTAAAAGTAGCAACAAAATTATTAATTGTCTCAAATATTAAAATAAATCCAGAGTAAATTATAAAAACTAGATAACTGAAGACAAAAGTAAAAGACACAGCCTTACACATGTTTATTGCAAATCTTTCTATTAAGATTATTCAATAACAGATTCTCAAAATTATTGCTATCCAATCAGGATCTTTCAGGCCTAAATATAAGCCCAGCATGACCTACCAAAAGAGAATACGTTCAGCCGCTCTCCTCCCTACAATCCATCGCAGGAATGGTGAACGGGCTGAAAATATATCCATCCAAAACTATGATCACTTTCTTCCTTATCCACACAAGTATCATCAACGTGGACTTGTGGACCACAGACATAATGTTGTTTGCTTGCATTAGGTTAGGAGACAGACCTATCTGAGTCAGGGGATGACCCACACTTCTCTTCCTGTAATCTCTGTAACTGTCCCAACACAAACACCCTCTAACACTATTGCCTTGCCTGTCCCACTGTCAGGGACCTCCTACCACAGGATGAGTCACTAACCACTATATGTCACCACCTACTTATTCGTAATAATTTAGATTTAATTCTTGTACACTACCCACACTTTGGTGGTGCTAATTTCCATTGTTATTAAACCATATCAATATTGTCTCCGCATCACAAGTCATAGTGTCTCAGAAAAATGGATTCCTTGAACGCTTATTACACTTTATATAAACAATGTAGGTTTGAAATAAAGAAAATATATAAAACTAGAAAATATGAAAAATGAAGAGTATTTGTGTGTATCAGTGGGAAGTGAACGTGTGTGGAAGCAGCGGGCTATAACTGCGTGGCCGCACTCCCTTCCGATATGACGTCATGGCATATGCACAGCCCAACATCTGTGAGTCAGCTGGGTGTATGCCTGGCTGAACTATGTCATGATTTGTGTGTGGAAGAAGCTATTTTTTCGATATAAAATATGTGCTATGTTATGTATCTATTTTACTGTTTATCATAGCAATAAATATGGCAGCTCATCCCTGTTGCATGTGGTATTCAAACTTACATTTCTAGCCAATTTTGGAGGGATCTTTGTTTACATTATAACTACTATTTCATGTTAGTGCCGGTTAGTTGCTCAAGTGAAATAAATAAAAAAATTTAAAAGCTTTAATTATTTACTTATAAGCAAAAACTAATTATTTTAAAATCTGTGTACAGGGGTATATGTTAATTTTTAAATTTGTCGCCACAGGTGTATTTATAATGTATAATTAGCATAAATACTCTGCCGTTAACTCATAAATGCCGTCGCATCTGAAACAAATTTCCCGGGAAAAAAAAAAAATCATCCCTTGCCATACCCAACACTACTGGAGAGAATACAATGGAGTACAATACACTATCCAGCATTCATTATCCTTTTCTGCAGTTCTAACCCCTTGAGTATGATGACTTAACCCCTTATCAAGTTATCATCATGTTCAAGGGGTTAAATCATCATACTCGAGGGGTTGTCATTGTAGTCAAGGGGTTAATGTTTTTATGACGTGAGGCACCCTAGGCGAGACGTAAACAGGAGGGGGGGGGGAGGAGGAGGGGGGCAAAAAGTATATCCAAAGTTTAGCCAATTTTAAATAATTATAAAAGTACAGTTGTGTACTTATACTTAGCGGTCAATAGAACCCAGAGGGTCCCGTGTTAAGTGAAATCCGCGTTAAGTGAACAACAGAACATATGGGATTAATTCCAATAGAAACCAGCCCGACCCCCAAACTCCACTTTTTGAAGACACATAACTATGTTGTAGTAAAAATAACATCTTAATTTTATGATGGTACATGCACACAATTAATACTTAAGAGAAATAGAGAAATACAGTCGCCAAGTTAATGTCCATTCAAATAATGGACTCAACTCCCTCCCCCTCTTCTCACACTACACTCACTGGCTCTTCCCTCTGAGAAATTTTTGGGGGAAAACCAGGTATAGTAATAAATAATTCCTCAAACTAAAGTTAGGATAATATAATTGACATTGCTGGATTCCTTGTAAGACCAGGAATATTTTGAATATAAATGTCATATATTTTTCACAAAAGATAACATATTTACTCAGAATAAACTTTACATCTAAAATTTGTATGTCTAATGCAAAATCTATGATGTTTATATTCAAAATGATCACCAAATTATAAGAATTCCAGCAATGTAAATTATATTCTGGCTGGGTAATTTGTATGAATTTTATGAGCTAAAACAGGCAGTCAGGCAGGGTGGCGGGTGGGGCGAATCTAAAAATAGCTCTCGAGCCGGACACTCACCGCTTATATGTGGAAAAACCCGCGTTAAGTGAAAGTTCAGCTCTGGCGAGGCACCGCGTATATGGTAAAACGCGCTAAGTGAAACGCTAAGCGGGGTAATACTGTATATAATAAACACATTTCCACCCACTTTGTAGTTTTTTTTTCATCCACATCACCTTACTATTAACCTTGATGTGAGGGCCATCAACATGTTGTTATGGCAGAGAGAGAGAGAGGAAAAAGTCTCAATATGATTACTAGATGGTAAATAATAGTCTTTTATTATATATGGGATTTTTTTTTGGTTTCCTTCCTCAAACCTGTACATCCAAATAGGTTTCTCTCTAGTAAAATTTCCAGAGTTCTTCGAAGGGGTTTACATGTGGAGGGGGGGGGGTGGGTGTACTCTCACCTGAACGGTCTCTGTAACCTCTTGACCAAACCCTTTCTTCTTCCTCTTTGGGTTTCTCTTTGCCACTTTCTCTCCCTCTGTTGGGTACTTTTGGAAACTCTGGCTTCCATCACTTCCTTCTCTCTCAGTTTCAGATTTTCTTCGTGTAATATTTCCTTCATCTTGGCTAAAGCGTTGATGTAGAGCGTCTCATATGGTTCCAATTCCTCTGTGGAGATGGTGAGTTCCGTTGCGTTTCCCCCACTGGATAGCACTGCCTTGAAGTCGTCCCTCTATTGTAAAGAACGCAATCAAATATATTACACATTTTTATGCCTTTATCTTTGTCCCTATCTGAAATATATTAGATCATTTTTATGCCTTATCCATTTCTCAGTTTTATGTGAGATGAAGCAAAAAAATTCAGAAACCTAAAAAAATGGAAGACATATCTGTCATTCCACAAGAAAGACCAAGACAATAAAATTCACTGTCTTTTCTGGGAACAAATCTTAACCTTTAACATACTGACTCGGATATCAAAGGGTTTATCTGGATACCTAAGAGCAAAAGACAGGAAAAACAGTAAAAAAAATAAAAATCGCAGTAAGACAAAATTTATCACGTGGATCTATAAGAAAATCAAAGTGGCAATCAACAAGACTTCTGACTTTCGACATCAAACTCACAAGGTATTAAGTTCACTGAAGAGATGATCAGGAAATAAAGTTACAATTCAGAAATCCAAATGTTAACAAATAGTCAGACACATATCTTTCTATACTTTATTATGTGAATGTGTATAAGAAATTCGTTCTAAATTATATTAAAAAGACATTCTAACATATCATAGTTACTCAAATAAATGACACTAACATTTTCTTTGGTGTAAAATATTAAGAGATATCTACCCCACATTCCTCACTATTCTCCCGAGAAATAAATAACTTCTAAGTGATAATCTGGCACATACTGTATCCTTCGTGACAAGTGAGAGTGCAGTTCCTGGCTTGCCTGCTCTTGCTGTTCTTCCTATACGATGAACATGCGTCTTGGCAGATGTGACGTCGTAAGACACCACGTGTTCGATGTCTGGGATGTCTAATCCTCGAGCCATGGCATCACTGGACACAAGACTGCAAGACAACACAACATTGCAATTAGTGGTAAATATAACCATTAGTCTGAAGGAGCAGGTCTAGTACCCTTGGTGGTTCATCTGAGAATACAGCTCAAGGCCTCTCCTCAAATGATGTAATTTTCTGTGGGTATTGGAAGGCTGTCATGTGAAGCAACAGAAATGATTAAAGCTATCTACAGTATACCCAGAAGATAACAATTAAATGTTTGCCAGTGTACTGTATAAATCCTTCTCTCCCTTCTAACAATTACTCTTATGGGAAAAAGATTTATTTATTTATTTTTGAGGTGATGTAAATATCATGGGATAAACCTCATTCCTGAACCATACTGTACTGAAGCTTCTCACAAGTACACCCGACTCTGCTTAGCCATCCGGTAATGGACGATAGTGGTCACCAAACTGCCACGCACCACAGGATTATGAAGTATTACAGATGTGTTATGATGTATTACAGGTGTGTTATGAAGTATTACAGGTGTGTTATGAAGTATTACAGGTGTGTATCATATACGAATAAAACTGATGCCCAGGAAGACCATTTTATTCCTTTCTCCTCCATTTGTCATTTCACATATTCATCGTGGCGAAGTAAATGAGTCAGCACGTACGGCAAGTCGTCGCTAAGTTATCTTCCCCCGTCTCTTTTACCCCCATAAAATACAATACATATATATGACTGGAAGGTTTATCAGAAATATTTATCATATTCTACATCCTAAAAGATTAATACAGGTATACCTTGACAACCGACGGGCCAATAACGGCCAATTTACATAACCAACGATTACATATGGGGGAAAATACTCTGAAATTTTCGTTGATACCCCAGAGATCTGATGACTGGGAGAGGAGTGGCAGAGCTGTTTGAATTTGGTGGGCGGTGGCAGGTGAAAATTCTTGCTACGAGAAGTCTACCATCCTCAACACAGGTAAATAACTGTGTCAATTTATGCTTTACATTGCTTATTTAAGGCTTATTAAGCTTGCTTTATATGTCTGCTTTACTTTCTTGGTTGACAGTGTACAGCACAGAGATATATCAAGGGTAGATGGGAGTTTGTGGAGGGTGGCCGGTCCCTAACACCCTGAATTTGTTATGTTCTTATGGGATGAATTGCTTTGATAACCGATGATTCACTAACCAACGGCTTTTCCCGGCCTCTATATGGAACGGTTAATGTTGTATTCCTGTATAATCCAAATTAATGTTTAATTGATAAGATAAAACAAAACTTTTTACTGCATTCCCTGATGGGCCTTTACCTTGTCTGTGTTGGTCTGGATACTACAGTATACAGTACACTGTTGTGGGGATTAGGTCCAACACTACACCTTCAGGTTTCATTTTTTAGAGAAGCAGTAAATATTTTTAACACAGTGTAATACTTTATTGCCTCCCAAGAATTGTCCACATTGTGAACATGAAATTATTGAATTATCTGGAATTACCGTATACAGTATGTATAGCCGAGAATGACACACGATTAATGATTTTCTGGTTTCAGAGAGTATAGTGCAGTTCATAAATAGTAGGTGTGTACATGAATAATGTGGACTTCCGGCAATAGAACATGGATTACAATATGGTGATTTGGCTTCCTGTAATGTAGGCAAACATGCAATGAGTAAGTCACCAGCTAGATCAGTGTGTGGGGGGAAAAATTAATACAATTCTAAAGTTCATACACTTACTGTAATACCATTTAGGTTAGGTTATGTTATGTGAGGGGCATAGTTACAGAATTGACCCCACATCTAGGAGTGAAAGGCATAAAACAAAACTCATTTCATCTATAACTTACACGTCAATTTTCCCAGATGCAAATTTGGAGACAATAGTCTTTCTCTCCTTCATCTTACTTGAAAATTCCGCTATTCTTAAACCCTCCGACAAGACTGACAGAAGGACGGCAAGCTTATGGGTCGCTTTGACGGAATTGGTGAAGACGAGAACTTTACGCCAGGACTTGGTTGTTATGAGATGATGGAGAATCAGCGGCTTCACCGATTCATCTACAATGGCATAATCTTCCTTCAGCTCAACGGGTCTGATGTACTGACCAACCACAGTACCATCAGATTTATCTTTCATAACACCTGAAAAACAACAAAAAATCTTGAAGGTAAAATCCCGGCAAAATCCCAACCCAGATGAGGTAATTCAAGCACAATTATACACAACAATAACAAAGTAATCCAAAAGTATGTTAGATAAACGAATTCTGACTAAAGAAAGATGGAGACAAAAAATATCCAAATCAATACAGTGACCCCTCGTTTTAACGAACACCTTGGTTAATAATTTCGATTAACGAACTGCCTTCCATAAGGATCTTCAAGGTTCGAAAAAAAATTCGGTTAACGAAGTTCTTACGAAAACCGACCTCAACATGTTTGCACTGACCGGGCAACCAGCTTTAGTATCAGTCCGCCAATACATTAATCGGTTCTAGGGCTTAAATTCCTTACTATTTTAGTAAATATCAAGAAGTTTATACTATTCAATAATTTTAAAAGTTTAATATTCAATTTTTTAGTCATTTTAACAATTATTGAACATAATTGAAGGTAAAGTGACTAGTTTAATGCACGGCATCCAGCCTCTTAACACAGCAAACTCTCTCTGTTTTCACTGGAGGTAACATCTTGCTTGAGACTCTCTTCAACTAAACACTTTTTTTCTGTGTTTCCAAGCAAATTATTGGTCATTTTGAAATATATTTTACATATTGACAATATATAATGCAGTGCAGTGTTGATTTAAAGAAAATAATCTTGAATTACACCAGAGAGCTAAAATTTTATGGGTGAAATGGCGCCATGGGGTGACTTCTCTTCCACCCCAATGCCTTCTCTTCTTCCTTCTCCTCCACCCCCATTCTAAATCCCATCATCATCATCATCATCATCCAGGAGCCTTCTACATGCCAATCAAAGTGCTGAACTTTTCTACCATGTTGAATTTAGGAAATTTTCGGTGAGCTGGAACCAATACTCCAAACCCATTGAAACAATGGTTTGCTAATCTAACGTAATCTTCTTGAAACCTGATTGAGTTCGTTAATTGGAGGGGGGTCATCGTACTGAGTTTTAATTTACAAGACATAGCACTATCAGGCAGTACCAGGTAAACTATGCAACAATTAATTTTACACACAAGTGTTTGAGGTAAATTCATGAAAGATTTGGGGGTCAATAAAATGGTACTGTTGTCTTTGTTTTTCTCCATTGCTTGTCACTCACACACACACACGCATGCACACACAAACACTACTTTTATCTCCCCTTCTCGTAGGTCCTCCAACCCATCCTCGAACCCTGAGACTTGTAAACCCCGAGACTCGTGAACCCTGAGACTCGTGAACCCTGAGACTCGTGAACCCTGAGACTCGTGAACCCTGAGACTCGTGAACCCTGAGACTGACAAACCCTGAGACTCACAAACCTTTGAATCCGAGACATCACACATTATTAGGCCTATTGTTGTTACACTGTTTGATGTCTCGGATTCACAGGTTCTTGAGTCTCAGGGTTCATGAGTCTCAGGGTTCATGGATGGGCTGGAGGACCCACAAGACCTCTCTGAGTAGGTGAACAAACTGTAGTACAAAAAATAATCACCTACAGGCGCTAATTTCTAAATCTACAGAAATAAAAATCCCGGAATACCAAAATTTTAGGCACGAAAAAAAAAATTACCTGGAGTTATGCGTGTGGTGACAATAAGAAGCTTCGGTCTGTATAACGTGACGTACTGTAGCTGTTCCGGGTCGTGGGAGAGAGTGGCCGAGAACAGGAGGCGGTGAAGGGATGGCTGTGGGTACTGGGTAGTGCCACTTCCCTGAAAACCGCCAATAAGAACGTTCTGTGAGGCCGCCTGACAGCCTCTTACGGACTGTTCGATGCGGTTGACCCACTCTCCGCCTTCTGCCGCTAACATAAGATCAGCTTCGTCTAACACCAAGTACCTGGATAAACAACGAACTTTAAACAAGGGGATATATTCACCTCTTTATCCTGTTCTACTCATTTAATATCTCATAGTCCCAATTAAACCCTACTTTCATTATCTCTTATGGTCGGAAATTCCTCACTTTAACTGGTGATTTTCCGATCCCTAATACCACCGGATAAGAAGAACCCCCTGTCTGCCGAGGTATACACGCTCAGCAGACAGCATCAGCAGATCCCTCACACACCCAACCTCACTTAACACCAAGTAATTTCCAAATTTTTTTATAATTTTTCTTATGAATGAAACACTAAATAATATCACAGCCGAGTAATTTCTGTCTCATAATGGAAACTACAGGGAAAGTGAGTTCTATTATAAATTTTTCTGCATTACGATGAAGTTCTGCTGAACCTAACCCCATTACAGTATTTATGTCCCCCTATTGAGGAAAGACTTCAGTTAATTCTCTTATTGTGTGAGTCTTCCTTGATAATCTAGTTAGTCAGATCCTCCACACATCCCTCCCTCCCTCTATACTGTAGTCAACTATCGAGGGTCTACTGTATAACTGATATTTTTCTGGAGTAACATGCGCTGGAAGGTTTATTATTGTTTACCTCGAGTATAAAGCTTTAGGTGCCACCGTACATAAAGAATAAAGACGAAAGCTAAGGCGCTCCGTTGTTCCCTTTTCCTGTGTGATTTTATCGAGATTTATGCGGTCCACGTTTCCATTGTGGATCCACATGAGATTGTGTTTAAGATGAAACCCGACGCTGTGATCACCAACAGTGTAGATTCATACAGTATTTTGCAATGTTTTATTTATCATTTAATTACTATTATTTTATTGTATTAAATCATTATTGTTTGAGTATCATGAGGCAGTGGTGGACATAAGTCTACGGAAGTACAGTACATTACAGTATGGGCTGTTCGATGCCTTGATATTGTTGACCTTTATATAGATATTTTATATAATTTTGATTTGTGTGTTTAATATGACAGCAAATACATACTGTTGAAGCCACTTGGAAAATAATTTATATGACCCTATCCATTGTAGACAAGCTGAATGTACTGGACAACCTTCAGACAAATGAGTTGGCTGCTAAAAGACCGACTAACTTGCTGACCAAAATTCACTCTCTCTTGGTTACTCAATAAATGCAGATCTCTAAAGGCAACACAGGTGCAGTTTCAGGCAATAAAAATGGAGTAATATAATGTAATGAATCACTAACAAACACCAAAAATGACTAATGCCCAGTTGAAATATTCCTTCTTTTTTTAATCTGGTTTAAATGGCCAGATTTTTTAGATTCCTGAAGACCTTAGAGAGAAACAATTGCTACATTATTGGACCTCTTAACACTCTTTCTATGCTGACTACGGTATCACATTACAGCCGTCCCGAGCATAATCTTTATCTCCGACTTATAATAGTTTTTTCAGATATAAACAGAAGCTATAACATTTCACTTTTATATTTTACAGAGAAAACAACTTAAAATAGTATATAGGCATCTTGAGTTAATGATGGAGGAAGAAGAAGAAACCAAATACTAATATTACTATTATATGAAACACTAAACAATAAATACAACAAACCTTAAGGAAGAGAGATCAATGCCTTTCGTGAGCCTCAGATGATCTGCCAGTTTGCCCGGAGTGGCCACCAGGATGTCGATGAGTGAATGATATCCGGCATAATTATGACCGACCAAAGATGCCTGTTCGTTTTTAAATGCCCTCTTGCCCACTGCAACGCCCACCTTCAACCCACTTCCTTTGGTATATGTCAAAAAGACCTTGTAAACCTGAAAAAATAATATATCAAATAAAATCTCTCAGGTCCAGTTTCTGGGACGCTACACAAACTAGCTATGTTCTGGAGTTGAGTGGGGAAATTTCCAACCATTCCCTCCCCTGTGAGCTGTATGTTATGTTATTTCTCTACTCGTAATTTCATATATATGTATACAGTACACATAATTTTCCTCTTATTTTTTAGTCAATTATATGCACACAATCCTAAATACAGAAAGTGCAAATAAATAAATAGATTCCATGGTACATATAAGGTTTTGATTATCTACTTGTTTCCACCTTGAAGCCACACGACGAGCGTGTAGAGAAGCAGCACCAATGTCAGAGAAGGCAGAGAGACAACATCCTAGCTGGGCGGTGTTTCTAAATGCCTAAATCAAGCACCGAGATTGCCACTGAGGTGTGTACACTAACTCATATTGCTATCTATGTGCCTATAATTTTAAATCTTAATATTATAGTGTACAGTTGAGGCTACAGAGGGTTTACTGTACATATACTGTAGTACATTTTACACCTGGTGCTCCAAATTCCGGACATGTCCTTATTCAGTAATCCGCAGGTCCCAAGGATGTCGGATAAAGGTCCAATTCACATATGTTGGAGTGTGTGAAATAACCCCCTTGGGTGTGATGAGTTAACCCCTCAAGTATGATGAGTTAATCCCTTGAGTATGATGAGTTAACCCCTTGAGTATGATGAGTTAATCCCTGAGTGTGATGAGTTAATCCCTTGAGTATGATGAGTTAATCCCTTGAGTATGATGAGTTAACCCCTTGAGTATGATGAGTTACATACACACGAGTTAGCTGACTCAGTGAGGGAGGGGATTAGGGTGCAGAGTGTAGGGGAAGAAGGAGGGAGCATTGCTAGGGAATCGGCATCCCAGCTGGTCTTCATTACTATGGTGAAACAGGGAGTGTATGCAAATGGCGACTGTGTTAAACTTTCATTTGGTTTTTATTTACCAATTTGACAAGGTCCCCCGCCCACCCCCCTTTAGTCTGGATCTTTGAGGGTTCACTGTATAACCAAAACTAAAATAAACTTAAAACTTAAAAAAAAAAAAATTACGACACCCACCTGAAGGGCCAACTCCTGTACGGGCAAGAGCACCAATGCACGTATCTTTGGCACTGTTCTACCCTTGAGTGCCTGGATGATGGGCAAGGCATATGCCAGAGTCTTGCCACTGCCTGTAGGAGCTGATACACATATGTCCTGTGGTCTATATCTGCTGGGAAAAAAAACTGTGGTTAACATTAGCAACACAACTGAACCTGACCTGACCTGACCTGAGAGTGGATCCCAAATACAGTTACATGACCAGATCTTGGTATACACAGGGTAGCAAAATGGTCAGCAGTGCCCTGGATTGTTTTCACATCCTCAACTTAGGTCAGGTACCCATTAACACCCAGGCCAACTGGGGATGCCCAAACGTTATTATTAGGTCTTACTAAAAGTCATAGTTACTCTTTAGAAATATAATATACAGTATATGTATCACCCAGGCATATCTATCACCCCATTATATAGAGGTTTCACATCTGACGGACCCTCGACATAACGGATTTTCCTCTCAATCTGCACCACCGTACCTGATTGATAGAGAATTAGCACCGGCAAGAATCTCTGGGATGACGGCTTTCTGTACGGGGAAGAACTGGCAGACTTTCTCCTCTTGTAATATTTTCTTCAGTGCCTCGTCAAGACCGTGAATGGAATCTATGGAAGCACCGTCAGCGTGTAGGTCTCTGCTAATGACCGTTGGATTGGCCAGCCAGTGCGGTAGTGTCCGTTTTAACTATGAATGACAGAGTTACAAATGTTAATTACTTACAAACATGACAGAATACAATACAGTACATCGATAGGTTTAAAATACAAGGAATAAAGATGAGAAAGAACAAATGGAAGGAGAGAATGAATAACCACAAAGATGACTGATGGAAGACTGAAAGGACAGAGCTTATAGAAGGAAGAAATACACAGGTGATTGGTTAGGTATACTACAGTAACACTCGTTCAGTAATCACAGATTTTTACATCTCCGTAAATGAGGTAACTTAGGTACTCTAGGCATTACATCCTTACCTGTACCTCTGTGTTACTCTGGTACACACCCTATCTACTGGGAGGGAGGGAGAGGGTGAGAGGGTGAGGACAGGTAAAATCTAATTTACTTTTTATCTCTACCAATATTTCTGGAAGTGACTCCATATCACATGAAGATGAGGCACCACTCCCAGTTTATTTCTCCTGATGATTAAACTACCTTGGGGGGGATAGGTTAGGTTAGGTTAAGTTAGACTAAGTTACATTAGGTTTGGGTACATTAATGTTAGGTTAAGTGTTAGCGAATTTAATCATCAGGCGAATAAACTGGGAAGTGTAATCGTCGTGGGATCTGTGACTCCTCGCAGGGGTGACCTTCAGATATGTCAGCCTGTATCTCCAGTGGGGAAAGGTAAACTCTACACAGATGTCCCATCAATCATCTCTGTCCCCCACAACATTACCTACATCTCCTTCCTCCACCTGTGCCTCTATATCAGTACTGTCTCGGCCTTGATCACTAATGAGTTCACCCAAGAGGTTAAATTATGCTATTCTTAAGTGTCCTAACTATTGTATATTCTTATCTCTCGACTGTCTTCTCTGTCTACAAACTCTCAACTGTCTTCTCTGTCTACAAACTCTCAACTGTCTTCTCTGTCTACAAACTCTCGACTGTCTCTTCTATCAGCTAATCCCACATTTCCAGATGCTGACGGACCCAAACTATGGTAACGTGAACCTAATAGAGCGAAACCCCAATAAAACGAACTTCTCTACATATAATCCGTTATATGGACTATTTCACACCAAACGGACCTTCAATATAACGTATTTTCCACTCCATATAGCATAGTCCGTTAAATAGAGACTCCACTGTTTCCATTTGCAGGATTCAACATTAAAAAGCATCCTAAATCCAGCTTGTGAGGTAAGTTAATCTGTTAGGTTAATGTGCATCTTTTACGAATACACCTCCTGTAATTCCCAAATATCGACACATTTTAATATTATTTTCTTCAATAATATTTTAGTCAGCATTAAGTACAGTATAACCAGAGGATTTACCCTTAAGTGGAAGATTCGACTCAAGTCCACAATATGGAAATGTCTATCCTACTATTCTACCTAACCTAACCTACAAAACCAACCTAACCTAATTTAACCAACCTATCCTGCCTAACCCATCCAACTTAACCTATCCTACCTAACCGATAACCGGACAAATATCCACAGGGTATAATAAAAACATCCACTATCACTTGCCCGGAGCACCTCATGTGTACGACTAACCTAAAGTTAAAACAAACGGACATAACACAGTACCTCTTCTCTTTTAGTGGTTTCAACCTCTTTAATAATGGTGAATCCCGGAACATCTTGTTCTTTAACGACTTTTTTCCTCTTCTTTCCCTTTGGTTTCTTTTTTGCCTTCCTCTTTATTGGCATTTTTTTCTCATTCCCAGTTTTTGCCAGAGTTGAAGGCACCCCAAGCAAGTCTCCATTCTCGACGGGAGATTTAGCCATTTCATCATCACCAGTGGAAGGAATCTGTTTATTTTTAACCATTAATGCTCTTGTTGTGGTTTTCTTCGATATTTCACCTTGACTCTGGGAATCTGGGTGTGGCTCTGAAGGGACATCATCGCGTTGCTCTCCCTGGCTTGCCTCGCCGAGTTCCTCGTCCCTCTCGTCACGTTTTAACGACTCGTCTAAACCGCCAACGATGCCATTCACGTCTTGTGGTTGGTCTTTCTCGCCCTCCTCGTCTCCCCTTTTCTTTTTCTTCTTCTTCTTCTTCTTCTTCTTTTTAATGGGTTCGCCGCCGCCTTCGTCATCACAGATAGTATCGTTGCCACCTTCAACGCTCGGCTGTTCAGTGCTGCGTTCATCTCCCGTCTCTCTCTTATGTTTTTTCTTCTTTTTCTTTTCCACTAATTCACCGTCGACTTCCACATCACAGGCCGTGTCGCTGCCAACGTCAAGACGCGACTCTTCCGTAAAACTTTTGTCTTTTCTGTCCCTTTTAAGCTTTTTTCTCTTTTTCTTCTCGACAATTTCACCATTAACCTCCGTGTCGCAAGGTGTGTTAGTGACAGAGTCGACAGTCTCCTCTTCTGTAATTGTATCGCTTTTCTCTCTTTTCTTCTTCTTCTTCTTCTTTTTTTTTGGGGGACTCTCATCATAGCTCTCGTCAACAACCACACCACTCACTTTATCATCAAATGGTACTTGTATTTCATCACTGGGTTTTGTTTCTTTGTCTCTTTTCTTCTTCTTTTTCTTCTTGGTAGAGTCCCCTTCAACCACATCACCTTCAGTAATAGTGTCTGACTTATTACTAATTTCAGCTTGTGTGTCTTCGTCCTTCCTGGTATTAATTTCAGTTTCTATTTCCTCAACTTTCCTGCTGTCCGTAGATACAGCGTACACGTATTGCTCGGGTGGTTTAGATATGCCGTTCGTTAAAGGTGACATGGCAGCCTTCCTCGCCCTTGCACGAGCATTGAGACGAGCCAATATGATCGACTCTCGACTGGGGCTGTCTGTCGCTGCAGGGCCCGTGGGGTTACTCTCGTTCCCCGGTCCCCAGTGCCGATCGGGAACATTCTCCCCCATCTTCATGTTCAACAGCCGACGGGGATCTGACGAAATACAAGACAGTGAATCAATGCAAATTAAAACACACAGTTTGCAATTAAACACCAATTTACAATGCTTTGAAATTTACAAAGTTTCCATATACTGTACAATTCTTTTAAGGAACGGAACTCATTCGTAAATCGGCTTCTACTCCATCTCTAACCTCATTATTAATTACCAAGATAATTTATATAAAACAACAAAAATTGTCTCAAGATGGCTCGCAGTTTATGACAGCAAGACGGTTCATAATGACAGACAGTTTATGATGTAAAACAGTTTAAGACAGAAAAAAAAGGCAATTTATAACAGTAACAGTTTATAGTGACAGGATGTTTGGGACAGTAGACATGTGTGAGACAGAGGACTAAGGTTTAAGAGACCGAGTAGTTTAAGACCAGCAGTAGGAGACTTAACCAACTTAACACAACAGACAGTTTATGACAGAAGGCAGCACAAGAAAGAATTAAAATTTTAAGACAACACAAAACTCAAATCCAAAAACTAAATCCAGAACTAACTTTTATGACCAACACCGTATTAGTCCATTTGTCAGAATTATAAATGACACTTAGTGATCTACAAGTTAGTCGGAACAATTGGTACAAAGCATTTCTGGGTGCAAGTTATTTCTGGATATTGAGACGAATTTTCTTATCATGAAAAAATTGCATATCTATGGGAGTTTTTCATTATGGTGACTTAAAAGAATAGGGTCTTTATTTATGTCATTGATGTGCTGGTACAATGTGGGCAGAGGTTTTGAAGATGAGAGAAAATGTGGAGTTAAAACACACAAAAAAATAAATAATAAAAAAAATTAGCTGAAAACTTTGTGAATCTGACCTGACCTGACCTGACCTAACATCATTTGAGAATCTGACTTAACCTAACCTAACCTATCCTAACTGTCCCCTCCACCATTACTATATAAATATTCAAACAACACAGAAAGAGGTTACTATTTAGAAGTTGCCAAGCACAGAAATATCTATTGATTATTATATACAGAGAAAAAAAATATGAATACTTTACTCTTTACTGCATAGTTTCCAGTATAAATTTATAGTTTTTTGAGTTCATAAAAAAATATAAAAATAAAATCCCTGAAATTCAATAACAATTCAAGGGGAAATCCATTGTTTACTTATTACCCAACCAATCAGAGGAAGTTTGGATGTCATGCGATACTTGTAAGCCAATCACGAGAAGACTTGTCACCATGCAAAAGCTCTCAAGTTTGAAATGGTTAGTTGTAAGATAGCTGTCTGTCTGGAAAGGTTGCCCCTTGGCGAATTGGCGCGTAATTCAGCAAGTTTTTGGGAACGAAGTCGCAGCTGTTGACACGTTAAGGACTCATGGTGTTGTCCGAGGTGTGATTCACTGTCAGTATCGTGAGGATCAGCATGCTGTACTTGGTATTGCAGCGGTCATTTTACACTAGAGGATATACAGCTAGGGTTTTTCTTTTTTCTTTTTGCGAATGAGAAGTTCTGGCAGAAACAATTCAATTTTCATCTAAGACACTTTTGGTTCATTTTAATCATAACCGAGATATGAGTTAAAAATAAACAAACTACTAGAAAAATTCAAAGCTATCATTGTATTTGTTGCCCCCAGCCGAACCTCATCATTGTACCCCAGCCGAACCTCATCATTGTACCCCAGCCGAACCTCATCATTGTACCCCAGCCGAACCTCATCATTGTACACCAGCCGAACCTCATCATTGTACCCCAGCCGAACCTCATCATTGTACACCAGCCGAACCTCATCATTGTACACCAGCCGAACCTCATCATTGTACACCAGCCGAACCTCATCATTGTACACCAGCCGAACCTCATCATTGTACACCAGCCGAACCTCATCATTGTACCCCAGCCGAACCTCATCATTGTACACCAGCCGAACCTCATCATTGTACACCAGCCGAACCTCATCATTGTACACCAGCCGAACCTCATCATTGTACACCAGCCGAACCTCATCATTGTACACCAGCCGAACCTCATCATTGTACCCTCACACACACTAGTGGTAATATCAAGACGCTTTTCTTCTGTTATGTTTTCCTCACAAATGATTTAGAACCCAGATAGCTAATATGCCAGGGACCCCCAGTTAGAAAGTGAGGTAATGTTAGGTTGGTTAAGATAACTTAATTAGTAATACTGTACGTGATTACGAAAGGTTAGGTTAGGTTAGATTAGATCAGATTAGGTTAGGTTAGGTTTATAAAGGTTTGTTTGGTGTTCCTTTTTAGTATTTGATCCCACATTTTCCCACTACAGTATTACCCCGCTTTACGCGGACCTCCGTGGGTTCAATTGACCGTGTAAAGCGAGGGTTCACTGTACAGTACTTCAAAGCCCTGCCCACTTCTAGCAACTAATATTGTGGGTACCGGTAATTTTATCAGTTAAAATACTTGAAAAATATATATTTCTGCTGGAAACATTATAGTATAATTTTTTTTCTTTCTCTATAAAATGGTAAATTTTCACTTATTGCCACTATTCGAAGTCAAGTTAAAACTATGTTTTCCTGATGGTTTTTGTTGTGTTATGAACCAGTTTGACCTTCATTCCAGGCGTAAATCAATAGTTTCTGATATAAGCCCCACCCCCCTCACAATCTAGATATTTACTATAAAAATCAAGGTAAAAAGTTCTAAAAACATCAAAAACCATCTGAAAAAGTTTCAAATCTAACCTAACCTAACCAGGGGAAGGGGAGCGCCACAGTTCTGGGTATGCGATTCAGTTCTGGTGCCCTTATTATAGAATGACAAAAATGATTCCGGGACTTAGAAACCTTCCATATCAGGATAGGTTAAAGAAACTAAACTTGCATTCCCTAGAAAGACGAAGAGTGCGGGGAGATATGATAGAAGTATTTAAGTGGGTGAAAGGAATCAATAAAGGGGATATAGATAAAGTTCTTATAATATCCGAGCAGGATAGGACTCGGAGCAACGGATTTAAGTTGGATAAGTTTAGGTTTAGGGGGGAGATAGGAAGGAACTGGTTCACAAATAGGGTGGTGGACGAGTGGAACAAGCTTACCAACTTTGTAGTAAGTGCTGGAACGCTGGAAAGTTTTAAAAGGAGGCTGGATAGATTCATGGATGATAGAGAGTGGTAGTAACTCTTGACAGGAGCTGCCATGCACAGACCAACCGGCCTATTGCACTCCTTATTGTCTTATGCTCTTATGTATCGCTACATACGAACATACATAATAAAATGTTAAATATCTCCCATATACGTAATTTGTGCCAGAAATGCCATTGAAGAAAAGTGTCAAGAATTGTCAAAACTACTGAATGCAACTATAAACTTCACGAGATTCGTTTAGTGGAAACAAGTGAAATAATACCCAAGTTGGAACTCGATAATAATTAGGTGTTGACAACTACAAAATATTAACCCCCAGTGAACAAATAAGACTCAGTGAACACATAAGACTCTGTGAACACATAAGACTCAGTGAACACATAAAACTCAGTGTGAACAAATAAGACTCAGTGAACACATAAGACTCTGTGAACACATAAGACTCAGTGAACACTTAAGACTCTGTGAACACTTAAGACTCTGTGAACACATAAGACTCTGTGAACACATAAGACTCTGTGAACACATAAGACTCAGTGAACACTTAAGACTCTGTGAACACATAAGACTCTGTGAACACTTAAGACTCAGTGAACACATAAGACTCAGTGAACACTTAAGACTGTGAACACTTAAGACTACACAACTAAGAACACCTTCCCACTCACGTGTCCACCACCTCCACTATGTTTTGATGTTGGTCGTTAAGTTTTCTCATGTTACTCAATGGTAAATATGTAACTACCTTCAGGTGGAAAAAAAGTAAATATATTTAATGTTTTTTTAAGTAGTATAAAATATATTAATTATTTACTTTTTTTAACATTTCTGTTAATTGAAGATGTTGTATTTATTGTTTATATCTGTGGTATTGTATTTTATTATATATGTTGTTTAATTTAACAATTCAACCAATCAGTCAAAAACCACTGAGCTGAATGATTTAAAAGTTAGGATTCCGTTAGGTAACATTCATTTTTTTCCTGTACACACTAGAACAGGGGTGTCAACCATGTGGCCCGCGACCCATGTGCTGCTCCGGCCTCCAGCCTTACCTTGAGGAGCTAAACTAAATAGTGAGTGTATACCTCAGTTGATTAAAATACTCTGCTGTTTCCTAGAACAAAATACTCAATCAACATCACCAATGAAAGAACAATAAGACTAGAGATAGTTTTAACGATTAATTGTGGTTGTGCCACTGTACGAGTTATGAGACGGCCGACTGACTACTGTTCACGTATTCACTCCGTACAGTACAGGTATTAGACATGAAAACTTTGACACGGCAGGATCTCACTTGAACATAAGAATGGAGGAAACTGCAGCGGGCCTATTGACCCATATTGGGCAGTCCCGTTTATACCCAACCATACACCACGGAGCGGGGGTCAACTGCTATGCCACGCCTACCCCCGCTATTTAAGACCTGACCTCGTGGTGATCTGCCTCTTTCTCTACCTACAGCCGCAGCCAGCAACACCTCCTCTGCCGCTGCCTGGCGGCCCTCGCTCCTCCGCCTGCCTGGCGGTCCTCTCTCCCGCCGGCGAGCATGGCGACCCACAAGCTGTCCTTCTCTGAGCGTCCTCACCAACCAGCTCTCTCTACATCACGCTTGTAACCATGCTACCTTCCCAGCACCAAGCTGCATTGTACATCCAATACAACATGTATACAGAGAGCACATTGTGAGTTTCCGTTCTCCTTCCCATCCTGAGTGTGAACCAAATATCCTGAATCCCACAGTACTGTAGCGTAAGAATAGAAACTCACAATGCGTTTTCTGTATGTATATTGTATGTACAGTGCAGTGCTAGGGAGTTGTTGTGTGGTGAGAAGCTTGCTCAGAGGTCCTGTTGGGTGAGAGCTTGCTGAGGGAGCTGGTTGGTGAGGCGCTTGTTGAAAGGTCTTGCTGGTTCAGGAGAATTTTGTAGAATAGAATGAATTCTGCAGCCAGGCCTACGCGTATTTATACGATTGGTCAGGATCAGGGAAGTGAGGTGTGAAATGTGCGGGGCCAATCACCGTGCAGTTTGCGAGAGAGGCCTTGTGTGCTGAACTAGTCGCTGCTTGTGAAGGTCAGAAATCAGTGAGCAGTAGTACCCCTACGTCCACACCTGAGGCCTAGTCTTGATGTAGCTGGGGCTTCTACTACCTGTAAGCTGATTGGCTGGTAAGCGAACGGCAGGTGATCAGTCGGCAGTTGTAGGGGAGAGTATCCACTATAGTACTAAGTAATGTTTACAATATTACAGCTGTTACCTGTTCTATACTGTGTACGCATGTGAAGTACAGTAAGTGAACCCGGGCTAGTCTTAACTGTCGGGACAAGGTTCAAGTGTAATTTAACTTGATTTTTTTTTTCGGGGATTAGCCCACCCGGGCACAGGTCAACGACCCACAACGGGGCCTGGGGGTGAAGAAATAAGAATAGAAAGAAATTAAAAATAGAAAAGAAAAAGGTTATATTAATTTACACCACGAAGATGCCTGTACAGTTAGTTACTTAACGTTCTGTCTGTTGAGGTGTAACGAGAAGTTGAGAACAAGTTACGGTGAGGGATGGTCAACTCTTGCCAAAGACCAACAAAGGTCACGAGAAGTTCCCAAATTTTCGTAATTTGCTTAAATAGTGAAGAAAATAATATTAACGAGTTGGCAACTCAACTACAACCACAGCTGCCACAAGATTCTCACATCAAATTTTCTTCATTATTTAAACAAATATACGAACATTTTTTAACTTCTCACGACCTTAAATCACAATGAATACTGAATCGCTCAAGACCACAAATCGTATATTACCCAAAATATTATATGAACTTAAGTTGTGTCATATAATGTACTGTACTGATAATCAATACAGTAATGTTGAGTTACCACACTGGAAATATGAATTAATATACAGTATATATATAATTGGGTAAAGAAGGCGGAGACCACGAGCACTAGAAATAACATAGAAATAAGCCAACGTTTTTGAAGCTAGTACTGTAGTGGACACTCTCCCCCTACAACTGCCATTTTGTCGCTGACCAGCCGACCCGCAATGAGTTCCTCAGACCAAGCCTCACTTTCAGACAGCGCGCGGTGACCGGCCAGTTACCACCTTTCACCCTGGCAATCAGCAGTGCCGCTCGCTCACTCGGCACTCGTATAAATACCCCCAGCCTCGCCGTGAAGAGGATTCTACTCAACGCTCTCAGACATGACCTCCTCTCAACAAGCTCCTCACCACACAGCAACTCCCTAGCACTGGGTTTCCCTTCTCCTATAAACCCTATGCTACACTATTTGCATGATACTAAACACAAAAATAGAAGTGAGAAAGTACAGAACCTAACCTAACCTGTGCATTGTCATTTTGATTTTCTTAATTACAATCTTGCAAACATCTCTAGAAAAAATGATCAAATTCAATCACATCCAAGATAAATTGTAATAAACACTCCTGATGCATTGTATGTAACTTAACATTGAACTGTTCTTTATCGATGGTGATCTACGACAGCCCAATAATGACCCAGCCAGAAGCGTGCCTATACCCTTCCCACACTAACCTGGCCCATAAGCCCTGCCCCTCCTCTTAACTAATAGCCGATTGGTTCATAGAAAATTCAAAATTAATATGTTCACAATAGGTAAGCAGACCTGTTATCTAAAATAATGATAAATATCTGGACTATCAAAATGCAAATGATTTGAAGGCATTAGCACTTCAGAGAGGATGTTAGAATTTTTTTTAATATTTATTATAAAAAGTCGTTATAAATATTCGCTTATATACGAGCAGTCCAGGGGGAGGTAAAACACCCAGGGGAACCAATCTAATGTTCACAATATATCTACCCAAAACCACCTATAGTATTTACAACCAACTTATTATAAAGGAAGCAATAATGAATTTACCCCCCCCCCCAAAGTAGTACAGTGGTCCCTCGGTTAACGAGCACAATCCGTTCCAGCAGGTTGCTCGTTAACCAAACCATTGTTTCAATGGGTTTTTGGGTAATTGGTTCCAGCTCACCGAAAATTGCCTAAATTCAACAAAAAAGGTAGAAAATTACACTAACTTTGAGGTGTGTATGTAGAAGGCTCCTGGATGATGATGAATTAGAATGGGGGTGGAGGAGAAGGGAGAAGAGAAGTCACCCCATGGCACCATTTCACCCATAAAATTTTAGTTCTCTTGGTGTAATTCAAGATTATTTTCTTTAAATCAACACTGCACTGCATTATATATTGTCAATATGTAAAATATATTTCAAAATGACCAATAATTTGCTTGGAAACAGAGAAAACAAGCGTTTAGTTGAAGAGAGTCTCAAGCAAGATGTTACCTCCAGTGAAAACAGAGAGAGACTAACGCCTGTCTGGTGTGTTAACAGGCTGGATGGCACGCCAGAAACTAGTTTCTTTACCTTCAATTATGTTCAGTAATTGTTAAAATGACTAAAAAAGTTAATATTAAACTTTTAAAATTATTGAAGAGTATAAATTTCTTGATATTTACTAAATAGTAAGGAATTTAAGCCCTAAAACCGATTACTGTATTGGCGGACTAATACTACAGCTGGTGGACCGCCAAATGCAAGCGAAATAATGTTGAAGTAGGCTCGTAAAAAACTCGTTAATCAAGGGATTGCTCGTTAACCGAAGTTAAAAATCTTATGGAAGGTAAATCGTTGACAGAAATCTCGTTAACCGTGGCGCTCATTAATCGAGGGATCACTGTAGTACCAGCTCTAATAATGAACACATCAACTCGTACTTGAATCTTTATCTTACCTTCTTGGACTTCATTACAGTACAGTCTTTTGTACCCTAACCCAAACCTGCAGTATCTGGCAACTTGGCAAGAGCCCATCGAAGAGTGACTGGGGTCTGGATGCCGTTGGAATAAGATGGTTTATATTAACGAAGTGCCAAGCCAAATTTATAGCTACCTAACTTTTTCTGGGATGTTCATATTTTTGCAGATGTTTAAAGATGAAGAAAATGCATGCAGGGGAAAATAAAAGGCCAGCCAGTCCGAGATGATCCAGCCACACAAGAGGATAACATTTACTTCTAGGGTAGAATATTCTGCATAAGACTTATTTCCTTGTTTAGAAATGGCTTTATTTTTAGAACAATATGGAAGACGTTTGTTACTCAAAAATTATCATTAGTTGTATAAGGTTTCATCAAAGTTAGCAATTTAACCAAGTTTTTATTTTTATATCTGTAATGAGTGAACATTTAACAGGAATCTTTAATGTTTAGGTTATTGTAGGAAGCTAAATAATAAATTACCTTCAGAGTTTAAATGATAATTCGTTCATAATTACTTGGTGGGGGGAAATGTATCAAGATACGTTTATTTAAGTAAGTAATTTATGTAAAGCTCAAAATCTGGTTCAGTGAATGTTTCCTGTGAGTCTTGCCCTCACCATCAAGATGAAGGAATAAATTTATTTATTCATTCAAGACCTAACACAGCAAGTAGGAGTATTATTTATAGTCCTAATTTTATTCAATACTCATTTGACCTTAACACAATGTAGTACACCTTTTCATTTTAACCTCCAATTATAACTACAAATTATTCCTGAACGTCCCTGAGCGATACGCTCATATTTCATTTCAAAATATACTAAAATTTTAACTACAGTACTGTACAAGATTTATTTTCACAATATTTTTAATGGATAATTTCTTTAGTATTTACAGGTACAGTGAAAAAAAAAAAAAGTCTTAGTTGCCAGATGCCACTCGATTGAAAGTTTCTGTAAATCGTGACATCATTAAATTAAAATGGTTGTACATGTAATGTTTAGTTACCATGACTCACAGGATCACAAATGAAGCAGTGGCAAGGTGCTGACTCAAGATATTTACCTTGTGAATGGTAAGAATAAAATGTTAAATAGGTAAGTTTAGCCTTTGTTCTTCAGATAAAACCTTATCAACATCAAATACAGTTAAAGTAAAGTATCTCAATATGTATATACTGTACATACAATTGGTGTGCCACAACATAATTAAAACCACATATCTTGGCTTGGCCTTATAATCAAGTGCACAAAAGATTCCATTAAAACAGGATTTGTAGCATTTTAAGCCCCCCACGAAGAAACATATCTCGAATTTTATATATAATGGAAGTCTAAGGGAAAATGCGATTCGATTTATGAAAGTTTTATCAAGAACCCTTTCATAAACCAGAGAATGCCACATTCTTTTGACATTTTCTCCATTAGTTCTTGTAGTTGATACCTTAACTCAGCAAATAGCATTCCTTCACTTTTTTTTTACATCACATACTTTACCTTCATCAAGACTAGTACTGTAGCTACACTCTAATATCTATTATCCTGAGTAAATAATCATGTGTGTGGTGGGTAAATACATAACACTGTACAATAATAAGTTGTATTGGTAATTCATGTCTCTTATCACATAACTCCACACAAAGTTTTTCACACAATATCACAATCACTGTACAAAAAGTTAGATCAATACCTCGATGAACCCTCATGTCACACATACAGAATAGAGACAATATAAGGAGAATAATGAACGCAACACAATTTAGTTAGCTGTACCCATTTATTTGAGCACACCAGGACATATTTGACTACAAATCGTATATAGTAACAATGACTATTGATAATAATGGTAATCAAGAGGGAATAGTTATAAAGCAAAGAAACAAACTCCTCACAAACAAGATGCCATTGGACTGGCATAAAACTAAACACTAAAATGGAAGGAGCAAACATGGCGTGGCTTTCATAGGGCATCACAACAACATTTGTAAGGAGCTTGCCAGTTACCTTTATTTTCATTAAAAACTGTGATCTTCAATACGTCTTCTACTCTGTATAAGCACCAACTACGGCAATAAAAACACAAACAAGAGAAACGCTTCTTACAAAAATCAAATTATTTCACTCCATCAGTTTAAGGTGCATATCAAGTGTAAGATAATGGATGCACAGAGCTTATAATGAGGATTGTAAACCAAGAAAACCCCCACAGCTCAATCAATATAAAGACACTGATGTAAGGACAAGTTCCTACAAGAGGCATTTTCCCCATAAGAATCCCAAGTGGTAAGTGAGCAGTTTTTTTACATTTGAAGTTATGATAATAGCACACATGCTAACACAATTGCCCTAGAGGTAAGTTATCATTCATACACACACATACAAACAAGGCTACCTCATTTTTTTTATCCATTTCTCATAGCCACTACAAATGTTGCAGTAATTATTAATTTAATACGCTTGGTACAAAAGGCATGAAAGCCCATCTATATGTTAAATCCAAGTGCATAATAACATGGGATTATTGAATCCTTGGCTCACATGTCGCTTACATTAAGGCATCACTTTGACCGGGCCAACAGACTTAGTGGAGGCTGCGCCAAGTTCACACAAACTTGTTACCTGCCCGAGCATGCTTTTGTTCCTATTGCTTGCTCAGGAAGTGGGTGAAGAGATGGTGTGGTTGGGAGAATTAAGGCCATCTGTTGACCCAGGAGGGCGATGTCCAGTTCAAAGATATGCGCAGCAAGTGGCCGTGAGGGTCAGAAGTGGGCGTCAAATTTGTTGCACAGGTTAAATGTTTTTTTTTTTCCATCTTTCCTTCAGTTAACTAGAACAAGTACACATCATGGAGTGGATCTGCCCTTCAAGAAACGCCACATTTCTTTTTTTTCTTCAAGGACGCAGTTTGAGTTTTGCCCAACAAGACCTTGTGCCAAGGCATCCGTCAGGTAAGTTTTCCCTACATACTAGACGACATGTGATGAGATGATATTACATGAGGGATGGAGATGATTGATGTATGGGCTGTAAGTGATGCATGAGTGATTTACGTGAAATTGATGACGTGAATTAATGACGGCGGTGACATGATGAGGTAATGCTAGACACAAGTGGCGGGACCTCCGGCAACAACAGCTTCTATAGCCCCCCACGCAGACACAAATACACAACACAGCAGAGCCAACCAACACAACTCAAAATTCCAGCATGATCACTGCAGACAAATTTTCTGTCAAAACAGTACAGTAACCCCAGTATACAGATATGCCTATTTCCAAATATATTCATAGAAGAACAAGGAAAAAATCAAAACTCGTCGAATCTTGACGTCACCATGAAATACAGTTTATCATCCACATCATCTAGACCGTTTTCTCTGTCCCGTCTTCCTTCGTGGTTCGTGACCCAAGCTGGGGTGAGGTGGGGCTCAACTGTTGGCCTTGTAATGGTGTCTTCATATCTTTTGGATTTTTTCGCCCTTGATAACCGGGTTGTTCCGCCTGATCTCCTCCGCTCCGTGTTCGCGATAATCAAATGTACAGCGGTGTTCGTTGCTGTAGCGATGCACCGAGCAGAAGAGACCATCGCACCTACATGTGAAGCCTGAAACAAATAAAAACATGAGAAACTGACCATTACCTAAATACCTGCATCTATACATAATTTCATTTCAATTCCTAACTTAATGTCTTGTGGTTAACATTTACATGAGGCTCCTACCAAGATGGGAAACACATGGTAAACCGAACTAAACTACACACATCTTTTCCAACTCGTCTCTTAACCTTCACAGTAATTCCAGCATAAGGATAAATCTGACAACTGCCAATATCACCACTAACAGCTAACCTATTTATATTTACTATGGCATTTTTGATTCTCAAGAGGAATTTCTATACATAAATTCTTCATAAGATCACTACATACTTTCATCAATTCTCAAACCCAGAAATTACACTTCATACAGAATTCTACAGGACTATAGCCATAGTAGTTACGAATGACAAACAATAATTTAACACTAGCCTTATCACTTTTACAATTCTATGATTATTATACTACAAATACCAGGGGCAACGTTGTAACTAAAACAACATACAAACCCAAAACCTTGATATCATTGCTGTAAAACTAAGTGAAAAATTCATAGATTACCAGACATTACCTACAGAGTACTTGTCCAAACTTCCACAACAACTTAATGAATAAAAACTCATAGAAAACACGTCAAGGACAATAATCCTCCCCTTGAAGCACGTGTTTGACAAACCATAACCAAACAGATGAAGTAACTCGATGGTCAAGAAGCATCAACAGCAGTAGCAACAGTAACATGATACTTACTGTACTTCAGCAGATAATGAGGGAGATATTGCATGGAATAAATAAGAAGCGCAGGATTTCACTGACGTTTTGATGGGCAGTGTCGTGAAGCAGGAAACCGACAGTGAAAGAGCATGTACTGCCATCATGGGAGTACTGCCGCTAGGGGGGTGTTAATATCACAATCAGACACGCATGTTCAAAAGGTTCATTGATTAGGTAATAAGAGGGATGAAAGCTGGAATATTGGAGAGGGGTGAAAGCTAGAATAACAGAGAAGGGTGAAAGCTAGAATACTGGAGAGGGGTGAAAGCTAGAATAACAGAGAAGGGTGAAAGTTAGAATACTGGAGAGGGGTGAAAGCTAGAATAACAGAGAAGGGTGAAAGCTAGAATACTGGAGAGTGGTGAAAGTTAGAATACTGGAGAGGGGTGAAAGCTAGAATACTGGAGAGGGGTGAAAGTTAGAATACTGGAGAGGGGTGAAAGTTAGAATACTGGAGAGGGGTGAAAGTTAGAATACTGGAGAGGGGTGAAAGTTAGAATACTGGAGAGGGGTGAAAGCTAGAATAACAGAGAAGGGTGAAAGCTAGAATACTGGAGAGGGGTGAAAGTTAGAATACTGGAGAGGGGTGAAAGCTAGAACAACAGAGGGGTGAAAGCTAGAATACTGGAGAGGGGTGAAAGGTAGAATAACAGAGGGGTGAAAGCTAGAATACTGGAGAGGGGTGAAAGCTAGAATGGAGAGGGAAATCCTGTAGAAGGAAGGACAGGATACAAATAAGAACTGAATTAGCTGCTGTCTTGCATTAGGAAAATAAACTGATGGGTTAGGTTGGGTTAGGTCAGGTCTACAGCGAAGCAAATGTCAAGTTTGAGTGGACACAATAGAGGGGAGAAGCGAGTCAAGCATCTGGGAGCGGATGGAGTGAAGCGAATCAAGCATCTGGGAGCGGATGGGGTGAAGCGAATCAAGCATCTGGGAGCGGATGGGGTGAAGCTTGGGGCGGATGGGGTGAAGCGAGTCAAGCGTTGGGGCCGGATGGGGTGAAGCTCAAGCGTCTGGGAGCGGATGGGGTGAAGCGAGTCAAGCATCTGGGAGCGGATGGGGTGGAATGAGTCAAGTATCTGGGTGAGGGAGGGGGAGGACGCGCATGTAAGTGAATGGAACAACGAACAACTTTGTACATAAGATGAGAGCAGCAGAGGAGAAGACTGTACCATATATAACAACACAGAACCACACCAAAGAAGGCGAGATGCAGCAACTTTGGATGCAAGATGAAAAACCAAATTAGAAGCAACATTGATTTATCATATAGGGGGTGAAGCAAATGCAGTATATCAATATGTGGAAAGGAACTGAACTTAGTAATGCTGAAGAGTTTTTGGCTAGTGGGTAGAAGAGTGCTGGCTCGAGAAGGATAAAGCTGGGGAGAAAATAAGAGGTGTGTGTGGTCATCATTCACTACTTCCCTCTCCAATATATTTGTGTGATCCTTACCTGTGAGACCAACCTTCTTCTTACACATCTGGCACTTGTTCTTCTTCTTCTTAGCTCCATCCTTATCTGGACTCCCAGCATCAAAGTCTGCGTCCAGACTGTCAGCAGCAGATGCTCCCCCATCCTCTGAGGTTTCTCGCTTTTCTGAAGATCCTGGGACACCTGCCACCTAGAAAAGACAAAATAAATAAATAAATATATAAATACAATATTTATAAGGTGGAATAACTACCAAAAATGCATTATAGGTAATGTATCTTGCTTCTTGTCTTAACTGAATACTGCACTAGTGTGTCTGTACACTAATAACAAGGTTCTTTCGAAAACTGCATTGACAACTCATTCTTGAAGGTGCTACAAGTTTCATGGATCACAGTGTGGTGTTTAGTCACATCCAGACCTGTAACACAAACTAACACTTACTCTTTGTGAGATATTGCATGTCTACCTGTGTGTACATCTCCTCCTGTGGCCCTGGAAGAGGAGACTTAACTATACTTCTCCTCATTCCTAACTATTCCCCTTATCCTCTCCTTCCAGTTTTCTTTCAATGCTGTACAGTCTCCCACCCCAACACCTGTACTGTACACCCTACCCCCTCTACCATCTTATCACTTACATTCATCTCACATGCTCATACCATCTTCCATGCCCTCTCTACACAGGCTACACTAATACCCTATACACTTTCTTATCCCTTACACTCTGTTTATCTAGGCATGAATTTTTAGAACATTCTGCTTCATCACTAACCGACGTGCCACTGTCATAAGTCAAGATAGGAGGTACTGTATACACACCTTTGTACATTTGAGTACTTGAGTTTTGCAACACTAGGCTGCCATGATGGGGAGGAGGGGGGGTTGTTAATATATGCTGTGCAGTGCTTGTATTCTGTGTTATGGGGCACAGGTTACATTCACTTTCCCTGGCCAAAATCCTGTGTTGCTCGAGGTTGCGGCAACCAGTTTGAGACAATATCAAAGAGAACAAAATATAATTATAGTCACAAGTAAGAAGAGGAGTTAATGAAGACAATGAGAAACTACTGTCTGGGGTTCACTTAATTAATGGCGACTTATTACTCTCATTTATCTAATATTTTATTGCTGTACCAATTAAATAATTCATGCTGTAAAGGCCCGAGAAGTCTGTTGCTAAAACTGAAAATAATAAATTCTCAATAGTTTAAAATAATCTAATATGGCTTACACAATACATCAAACACATTCATTTCAAACACATACCATTTAAATTTCTCTATCTAGCATATACATCTAATTTCCATCTTACCAAAGTTATTCATCACCTAATAGAAGTTCACGTTTGTCTAGTGTGTGATGCCTGGCCAGTTCACACCATCCAACCGCAGCCCCATTCACCCTTGCCTTCATCTCCATCCATAAACACATCGAAGAACCACAAAACATGACACACATCCCTGCGTCACTCTCCTGTACATGTAGTCCTATGTTTACTTACGGCCAGATCATGTCTTAGATACACGAGCCACTTATCCCCAACACCACCTACTGTGTTCACTGATCCACTCTCATATACCTTCTACAGATCCATAATGTTGCACAGTTTTCCAATATCTTGCAAACTATTTTTCCTGTGGGCAATTCTTCCGTAAAAAATTGGTTTGTATGTCGCTGCCTTTCCCTACTCCTTCACTGTACTGCATGTGTGATGTTATCTCAAGAATGAGGTGTCGTGTTAATTTGGAGTTTGTTTTACTTGTACACCCACTAAAAAACTCCAGTCATTCCTCTTTCTTTCTCTCCCACGTATGAACCCGTGAATCCGAGACAATACACAGTGTACCAAGTCTGAACCCAACCAGATGTGATGTCTCGGATTCACAGGTTCAGGAGTCAGTCTCAGGATTCATGGACGGGGGAAGAGATCCGATTGTTTGTTTTATTTTTTTTGGGTGGGTCTACAAATAAAACAAACTGCAATGAAATTCGTCATACTAAAATCAATAGCCTTAAAACTTATTTTTGATCTTGACTCAACTGGTGGTTAAATCCCTTTATACTTAGTTCTGTACAAGGCCCTAAATCATGACTGTCAGTACTGTACACTTCAAAGCCCTCCATGACACAGCTCCTAGATCTGGGTCAGGAGGCACCACTGTTAGTACTAAGACACAATGTGCAGTTTCATCCTTATGTTATATGTACCTTACTGTCTAGTGAACCTGGAAGCAAAGTTTTTGTGGATACCAAAGTAAATCATTTAGTAATTACCGTACAATTTTGGTTTAATCCATTAATTCTATGATCCACCAATGTTCTTTTTACCACAACTCATGTTAGTACTTAATGTCTGCACTATTTGAGAATTAAACAATTTTTTATCATGAATATTATAAAATACTGTACTGTTAATGTTCAAACTGCTACCATAATTATATAGCAAAGAAAAATAATTCACTAGTTTTTTCCTCAATGAGTACATAATTACTATGACCGAAACGTTATGTTACAATTTAACATATTTCTCACCAAGTGTCTCAACAATACACAGAGTTTATTATGTGACAAGAATAAGTAAGTTATGTGTGAACAAGAAACACTGACTCGTGAACATAATTTGAGTCTTGATGGTTTAGCCCGTGTGTGAACAATTTAAATCTTCACAGTTTACCCGTGTGTGTGTGTGAAATAAAAAAGGGTCAATGGTTTAATCAACACAAGAAACAATTTGAATATTAATGGTTTAACTAAGTGTTGGAAAAATAAAACAGAACCTTAATGATTTATCCACGTGTGAGCGAGGAACAACTTTTATTCAACACGAGATCCGAGCGTAGGGACGACTACAAAACCAACCTGTGTGAGTGTGGGCACGGTAGGCTGGCCGGTGGTCGTAGCGACGGTTGCAGCCTGATGGAGGGTAGATGTGGGGGTTGCCGGAGAGGCTGAAGTGGGGGCTACGGAGGCAGTGGGCGAGGTGACTGTGGAAGGCGGTTGTTGTTTCTTTTTAAGGGCGTCCTTGTAACACTTAGAGCAGAGCCCGTCTGTGTTTGGGGAGCCGAAAAAGCCACAGCCCATGCGACAAAGGATGGGCCCAGCCTCAAGCTGATTGCTCTCACGCTCCATCCTCCGATCAATCTGTCGAGTGACACTCAAACTTATTCCACAATAAAGTAGTAGTCTTTTTCTGTGACAACTGTAACCTTCACCAATTATTATCTTCTATATCACATCTTAAATTTTACCGTTCAATGTCCAACTCTCAGTCTTACATTACAACAGGGATAAAATATTCACTAAATTTAAGTGTTACTCAATAATATTTGTAATTCATTAACATAAATTCTCAAACAGTGCACACTACTATCAACTGATCATATGTACTGTACCCAGGTGTTTAATTATTACAAAATAAAAATTAGTTAAAAAAGATGAAAAACACCAGTGTCACCAAGGTACAACAACAGCTAGTGAACATTATACTGTAGATGCTCTAGTACTGTACTGGCCTCTGTTTATGAGTCACATTACACACACAGTACTATATATCGATATACCCAATAACTTACAAACATTCACATGTACACACCATACATACAATAATTTACAGGCATGGATGCACATACAAGGCAAACACATATTGTAATAGTGCCTTCATAGCTATGCCAGAGGTACTGTATCTACAGCACACATTATGTACAGTGTATGTGGCATCACTCACACTCCTACTGTACTAGGTAACAACAACACCATGTTCATAGATGCAGTTCCTAAACCTCTCCTAACATTTTTATTCTTATAAACTAAACTAACACACAATTACCCTGTCACTAGGCAATAAACTACCTGTACTGTACTAACTCACTAAACAAAGTATATCATATATCCCACAAAGGTAAACTTTAAAATAAGAGACAATTCCAAGTACAGTACAGGTCTGTATTACACTGCACTGGTATGTAATTACTCTTTATCAACAAGATTTGGTCCAAGAATTGAGTGAAAAATTTCTTGAGTCACCTGACATTACCCTCCAGCTTATTTCACCTGACGATTAAACACCCTAATGCTGCCTGGGGGGCTATGTTAGGCTAGGCTAAGTTAGGTTAGGTTGTTTCAACTTATGGTGAATTAAGCTGAGGGCAACCTCTAGGTGGGCCCCACCTGTACCTCCAGACCTTGCCAACAGTTTCAGATCACAAATATGAGTTAACCATCAACTGTCAAACACAAATCTCCATTAAATGAATATTATGAAATATTCTCATGACTATAATTCCCAAATATTTCACACGCAGGAGGTTTCGAGAGTACATTTCATAATTCCCGAGACGTAAACAATGATAAACGACTCTACGACCATAGTACCAATAACCATAATTTCATTGTTACACTTGGGTTTGGAATGTAATAAAATCTATGGACTATAAATGAAATAGCCAGTGTTGCTAGTAAGATATATTTACAGTCATGCAATCGGATGTGAATTTTAGAAGTGAATATCCAGAGTTCCGGCCATCTTCCCGACTGTTACCACCCACAGCACTTCAAAAAATGGCTTGATACTTTATGTTTCGAGTCCATACATTTGTTGCAGTCCTCCCCACACAATTTTACACAAGAACTCTAAAACTATGGGGGTTATTGATGCTCTGGGTCATTGGGCCATTTATCTTTATGTATTTCTCGACAATACACCTCCTTGAATCATGTAATGTATTTCAGAAATGCTCTGTACTGTATAATGGTATATTGTTGACTTTTATTTTTTTATAGGGATTAGCCTACCCTGGCACATGAGGGCCTGGGGGGCGACAATCTAATAATAATAATAATTCATATTAAATAAAATTTTAAATACAAAATTAAAAATAAAATAATAATGATCACAATAATAACATCACTAATAATAATGGTAATAATGAACCATAAAGAAAGGCAAAAATTAAAAAATCAATAGTGAGAAACAATATATGTATGTTGTCAAAGTAAGAGAAACAATTGAGATCCTGCAATTGTGTGTAAATGAGGCAGAAAGTCAGATCAGCAACCTGGGACTTGGTCACAATTTTCATGATGCCATATGGCAGCAGGGCCTACCATTAGACAGCACATAATGCTTCCAATATCTTCCCAGGCAGTAGTACCTCTCTGTTTAGTAGCTGCCTACTACTACTGATAAGTATTCCCTTTAGCAGCTATCATCATACATTAGACACCAAAACTACATAAAGTGGAGTGAAAATAAAGTCTTCCAAAATCCTCTACTACCATATGTAAAATTTCACCACCAGACCCAGGTAAACTATTCAAAACTTAATAAGAATTTTAGTATTGTATGTACAGAGTAATTCAATAAAAAGAGACTTAATGACCTTGGTATACACTGTCTTATGTAAGGATTGGAACACTGAGATATATTCTTATTACACAATTGGTTTAAGCAAGACATTTCCTTCACCACGCATGATGCAGATTGAGGAAGGAGTGAACGTGTAACAGCCTTTGAATAATGTACCGGGGTTAGAAATTGACGAACTATACAGCCAAATGGATGAGCGGATTGATGGAACCTATTTCTGTACCTGCCATCTGTTTGATTAAGTGGGAGATAAAGATGGATAAATAAGGTGAACACAATTATCCGTGCGAGGTGTGATAATCAAGGCAGGATTGGTTATCCGTGCGAGGTGTGATAATCAAGGCAGGATTGGTTATCCGTGCGAGGTGTGATAATCAAGGCAGGATTGGTTATCTGTGCAAGGTGTGATAATCAAGGCAGGATTGGTTATCTGTGCGAGGTGCGATAATCAAGGCAGGATTGGTTATCTGTGCGAGGTGCGATAATCAAGGCAGAGTCGAGGCATAATACAGCTTGTAGGTCACACCTGGCCCGCCACACTCTCCCACTTTTAGAAAAATTATAGTTTTAAGTCCCAGGCAAAAATCATTTACATTAACAAGTGAAGACGAGAAGTCCTAACAGCATGATCCACCTCCAGCGTGAAGCACTTGGGGTAGTTTGAGAAAATGTAATCCACGTAACAGGTCGTGGTTAACTCGACCTTTATCCACGATGACCTCTTTCACACTAAACAGGACATTAAAGTGATTTATCTGTTTTCCCGCTCCAGTTATTTTTTTGGTGCGCCAGTTTGTTAGTTCATAGGTACTGTACTGTATATCAGAACTTAACTCGTAACCTCTGCAATGAATACAACATACAAGAGGAAATTGGACATTGTATGCCAAGTACAGTATTCTACACAGAATGAACTTCACCTTTTTTTCTTAATGTTGGTGAAGAGAAATGTTTTATATGCTGTGTGGGGGGTAACATAGTTAACCCAAGACAATGATGATGTGGCCCACCAGCCAAGTACTGACTACTCCTGGATTAACCCCTTCACTACAGAAATGCCACTTTTAACCCTCCTGTAATCTTGGCCGTGGTCAGAAATCTCACCTCCTCCCAATATTTAGACGCAAGTTGTGTTGGTAACAGGAATGGATAAACATGACCCACGTTCCTGATGGGAAACTGGATTAAACCGTAGCTCCACCACCCTACCAAGTGTCGGAGGCTCCCAGTAACGGACCTCAAACCAACGTCTTCTTTATCAAGTGATGAATGCATGCACCAACCATGTCAAACCCTTACTGGTGTACTGTACATTGCTATATTAAAGGTCATTGCTCCATCAAGACGAGGCCGTGTGAGCGGTCTTTAAGTCTTTGAGGACGGATGTACTCATGGGGTCAAGATAACACTCAAGAGGTTAAAATATCATACTCAAGAGGTTAAAATATCATACTCAAGAGGTTAAGACATCTTACCCAAGAGGTTAAGATATACCTGTAATACTCCAGGGGTTATATGGGACCCAGAGCAAACATCTATAGAATTTTACACCAATAAAGAATTAAATTTCATATATGTAACAACGAACTGCCGACTATTACCGGTATATTTGTCTCTGCCCCAGAATGACTATTGGTAGTTACTGTGCATTGAATTCTATTAAGCACAGTACGCTGTATATAGTAATTTTATTATTATGGTAATTTTAATCTGAATACAGTAAAACCTCTATTTATGAGACTATATGGATAGGAAAGTCCTTTATATCAAGGGTCCGATATGTGAAACCTTTATCTAACGAACAACATACAAATGAAAGTCCATTACATCGAGGGTCCGTTAGATATGAAACCTCCCTTCTGACGAATTATACAGAGAGACGAGTCCGTTATATCGAGGTTTCACAGTAAATACAACAGAGGGAGACGACTAAAGACGTAACGGTTTAGAAAAAGGAGTTCAGAGTTAATGAAGGAGCATTTGGCTTGAAGATTTCTCATGTAAAAGGGCAGTGATAGAGACAATACTGTACAGCGGTAACATGCGTCTCTCTCACTACTGTGTTCTGGGTTCAATCCCCAACCAAGGACAGATATGAGAAGGGTGTTGGCAGGTTTTCTCTTGTGTACAGTAGTCTGGTTTCTTCCATGTACCGACACTTAGACAATGAAGGGCGTAACAAACAACAGACCAAATCTCCAACAGCTAGTAAACCGATAATAAATAAGAAGAGATTCCTAAGGAGTTGTAGATTTTATATTGATTTTGAAAAAGCATTTGATAATTGATAAAATAATGAAGGGATCTTGATAATTGAGGCATTCATGGAGGTACAGTACAACAATTCTAAAATAATTTTTACTGGCAAAAGAATGACAGTGTTAGTAAATAATACAGTAGAGTACAGGTAGTTAGTATAACATTACACAAGGGACTGCACTATCTCTTAATTATATGCTACAGTACAGGTACAGTATTACCATTTGAATTCTTAATGGTAAGTTATGTTATGGAGGAAAACCCTAACAAGAATCTATCAATACTTTACAATATTTAATCCTATTTGCATCAACTGGGTGCCAAAGATTGCTACTCTACCTAAGCCTACCCGGGAACCTAACCTAAACATTAAGACCTAAACCTCTTGTTGTTTTAATAGAAAATTTCAGGTTGGGTATTTTTCAGCCGGGCATGAAAATTTCCATATAAATAATGTAATGGACAAAGAAGAGTCATGAATTAATCTTTGTTTAAATATAGTTTGGGTCATTAAAAACAGAAGTTAACAGAGCAACAAACATAGCAATACTAAATAAACAAATAAATGCGAGCCATTTATACCAACTAAACATTAACCTAAAACACAAACCAAGTTAAGAAAAACTAAACTAGTGTGGAAACTGGCAATAGGCACCAATGAAAACTCGGGAAGGGCCATTAAGACTCAATCCTAATGGTTCTTGATCAAATAGTTTGTGTTAGATATACAGTTTAAGAGGACTGAAGCCATCTGGACACTCACCTGTTGCTCTCCTCCTGCCAGAGTTGTGGATGGGGTTGGGGTGGGCAGCCAGTAGCAGCTGCCTCACTCCACTTCACACAAGACTTAGGGCCTAAGCCACCTCCTACCACACCTCACACACAACCAACTGGGTGTTTGGCCGAGCTACTGCCAATCCTCTGACAGTTCCTGTGTGCACTTCTCGAGGTTCACGTTTAGTGGAACCTGGGGAGAAGAGAGAGAAATTATTATTGGAATCTGGGGTAAACATAAACACGAATTATTGATATGTGAAAGGACAACAGAGAGAGAGAGAGAGAGAGAGAGAGAGAGAGAGAGAGAGAGAGAGAGAGAGAGAGAAATAAATACAGTATTCCACACGCAAAATATTCAAAGACGTGTCCACTAGCCCCTGAAAGAGAAAGTGTTAAGTGACAATTCTCACTCTTTGTGCTGTAGCCGATGTAACACCACTGTCCACTCATCCTCCCGAACCAACGAACCCTGAGATCCGAGACTTGTGAATCCGAAGCCTTTATGGACAATTGGACATCCACTGTCTAACTCAACTTTAAACTAGCTATTTCCCCATCTCTACCGCCTCGTTCTACTAATTACCCATTTCCCCTCCTCAACTGCCTCGTTCAACTGTAACTAGCTATTTCCTTTGCTGTAATATTGTAATAAAGATAGAAATTTAGAGCCACAAGGAAAAGTGTGTGCGATTCCTTTAGTGCAATTAAGTCGTGGGAAATCCTGTTGAAAGTGAGTTTATTAGCGAACTACTGTGAGAACGAGAGGGAGAGGGGTGGGTGACGGAGGGAGGGAAAGTAGGCCAGCGTTCTACTTACTACCACAACCATCAGTTTCCCTCCTGTTAACACCACCACTAGTGCCACCCCCCTCCCCCCTAGACAACCTAACCTTCCCTAGCGCCACCACCCCAACCCCCACACGTTCAAATATCAATACACACACAAATGAGAGTAGCATGTGTGTGTGTGTGTGTGACCTCCCCCCCCCCCATGTGGTTTGCAGTAAGCGTGGTCATGCCGTCCCCACCCAGCATCACAGAGCAGGATGAATGAGGAGGAGACAGCAGTGGTGGTGTGAGTATGACTAGCCACACCCCTTTGTTGCCAAGCTCATCTATACACCCATCCCCTTTAACGCCCCGACGCCAACACTCAAAATTTACCTCCTCACTACTACCACCATTACAATCACTACTAATAGCATTTTTAAAGTAAATATAAGAGTAAGATAATGTATTGTACTGAGAATATATTAATATATTTGATGCGTATCTCTCTCTCTCTCACAGATGTAAACAAGCGATTGCATTCACAGCTGGTTGACAAGCGTTCACAACTGAATGAATCTACACAAGCATGGGATGTGTGCAAAAATAATTCGTGGCGTTATGTTAGGATACTGTCGCTTTATTTCCCCCACCCCAATGACGCACACACCAACATCCCTCCCCAATGACGTACAACCCTCTCCATTTCCCTCCCCAATGACGTACAACCCTTCCATTTCCCCAATGATGCACCCCTTCCCTTACTTCCCCCCAATGACGCACCCCTTCCCTTACTTCCCCAATGACGCACAACCCTCCATTTCCTCCCCAATGACGCACCCCTTCCCCCATTCTCCCCAATGACGCACCCCTTCCCCTTACTTCTCCCCAATGACGCACAACCCTCCTCCCCTCCCCAATGACGCACAACCCTCTCCACTCCCCCTCCCAATGACGCACAACCCTCTCCATTTCCCTCCCCAATGACGCACCCCTTCCCTTACTTCCCCCCAATGACGCACCCCTTCCCCACTTCCCTCCCCAATGACGCACCCCTTTCCTTGCCCCCTCCCCAATGACACACAACCCTCTCCACTTCCTCCCCAATGACGCACAACTACTACTCCCCACCACATACCGATAAAACAAGTCACTAATTCACCTAGGAAGTTAACCTAATCCACCCTAACTTGACCTAACCCAACTTAACTTAACTCAAGCTAACTTAACCCAACTCAAGCTAACTTAGCAAAACGAACTCTATATGTATACTATGGTAAAGCGCGTTCGAGTCCCGCTTGGTCCAGTCCCAGACAAGCGTGAGAAGGGCGTTATCCAGTTCCAAGTAACACTCAAGTATCACCTAGAGATTCCAAGTAACGCTCAAGTAACACCTAGATAACAAGTATCGCTCAAGTAGCACTCAGAGGTTCCAAGTAACACCCAGAGGATCCAAGTAACACCTGGAGGTTCAAATTAATGCTCAAGTAACACCCAGAGTTCCAAGTAACACCTATAGATTCCAAGTAATATCTAGATAACAAGTATCGCTTAAGTAACACCCAGAGGTACCAAGTAACACCAGGAGGTTCAAAGTAACGCTCAAGTAACACCCAGATGCTCCATGCAACACTCAAGTAAAACTCAGATGTTCTAAGTAACACTGAAGTAACACCTAGAGGTTCCAAGTAACATCCAGATGTTCTAAGTAATACCCAGATGTTCCAAGTAACACTCAAGATGGTCTGAGTAACACCCAGAGGATCCAAGTAACACTAAAGTAACACCCAGAGGATCCTAGTAACACTAAAGTAACACCCAGAGGTTCAAAACAAAAGAATAGCATCATGTCTCCGAGCATCCTAACCACCACGAATTGTATCAAACATGCACAGTCACTCTAAGATTCACTCGATGAGGATAATCAAACTGTTAAGATCGGGGAGGGAGGGAGGGAGGGAGGGAGGGAGGGAGGGTACGTTGCCGAGGAAAGGGGGGAGGGAGGGGTTACGTTGCCGAGGCGAAGGTTGAACTTATCGTACGGCTGACAGACCCACATCACCCGAGCGAAACTAACGATAATAATGTCCCTTAACCTAACGCTGACATAACCTAACACTAACTTAACGAGCCAGAAAAGGGTTTATCCAAAGTATTTGTGAGCGGAGAAGTGAACTGGTGCATATATGAACATGTAAAGCAGAGAGAGAGAGAGAGAGAGGAGAGGTTACAGTGTTTCTACTAATGGTTCAGCTACACTCCAAAGAGTCACGGGAGCTTCCCTACCTCCTGCCACCCTACACCACCTTATACTCTACACTACATCACACTTGACTCCAACACTACATCGTACTACAATACAACAGGTATGGTTAGTTAGGTAAAGTAAGGTATGATAAAGTTAGGTTAGGCATGATAAGGTTAGGTAAGGTCAGGTAAGGTATGATAAGGTTAGGTAAGGTATGATAAGGTTAGGTAAGGTCAGGTAAGGTATGATAAGGTTAGGTAATGTCAGGTAAGGTATGATAAGGTTAGGTAAGGTATGATAAGGTTAGGTAAGGTATGATAATGTTAGGTAAGGTTAGGTTAGGTATGATAAGGTTAGGTAAGGTATGATAAGGTTAGGTAAGGTCAGGTAAGGTATGATAAGGTTAGGTAATGTCAGGTAAGGTATGATAAGGTTAGGTAAGGTATGATAAGGTTAGGTAAGGTATGATAAGGTTAGGTAAGGTTAGGTTAGGTATGATAAGGTTAGGTAAGGTCAGGTTGAATCAGGCGAGATAAGGTTAGGTTAGGTTCAATAAGCCAGGTCAAACATTAAGGAGTATGGAGGGCAAAGTGGTGTAAAACCAAGACGAAAGACTAACACCCTATCACCACTTGGCCTCGGCTGGCTCACCATGACACCACCAGATAAGGCATATCACCTTAGGTAAACACCCATCCAAATCACCTGATAACGAGACTTAACTACCACAATAACACTTGTTCGTCAGTCCCTAGGTACGTTCCTGCTCTAAACAAGGTTATGGTGTGGTTGAGGTGTGGTGGTGGTGTGGTCACTCCCCATCACAAAGGTTAGGAGGGATCATGAAGAGATTGTGTGGTCTGCATAGTTTTACACACACACACACACACACACACTCATACTTCACCTAATATAATACTCGTAATAATAATAATAATTAGTAATAATGATAATAATAATAATAATAATTAGTAATAATGATAATAATACTAATAATAACAAATAATAAAAGTAATAATAATAAGTAATAACAACATGTAATACAAGTAATAAAAATAAATAATAATAATAAGTAACAAAAGTAATAATAACAATATGTAATAAAAGTAAAAACAATAACTCAATGGGCCAAATCATCCATACACACAGACGTAGAAGCTAGGAAGCCATTTTCACCTGGCTAGACTGGTTCGTTAGATGGAGGTGTTCACATATAACGGACCCTCGATATAACGGACTCTCATCTTCATATAGTTCGTTAGATGGAGATGTTCACATATAACGGACCCTCGATATAACGGACTCTCATCTTCATATAGTTCGTTAGATGGAGGTGTTCACATATAACGGACCCTCGATATAACGGACTCTCATCTTCATATAGTTCGTTAGATGGAGGTGTTCACATATAACGGACCCTCGATATAACGGACTCTCGATATAACGGACTCATCTTCATATAGTTCGTTAGATGGAGGTTTTTGCCTATAGCGGACCCTCGATATAACCTTACATTACCTAACCTAACAGTAATCATCACGAGTAACAGTAATCATCACGAGTAACAGTAATCATCACGAGTAACAGTAACAGTAACAGTAATCATCACGAGTAACAGTAATCGAGTAACAGTAATCACGAGTAACAGTGACGATCGAGTAACAGTGATCACGAGTAACAGTAACCATCACGAGTAACATCACGAGTAACATCACGAGTAACATCACGAGTAACAGTAACATCACGAGTAACAGTAATCATCACGAGTAACAGTAATCATCACGAGTAACAGTAACCATCACGAGTAACAGTAACCATCACGAGTAACAGTAACCATCACGAGTAACAGTAACCATCACGAGTAACAGTAACCATCACGAGTAACAGTAATCATCACGAGTAACAGTAATCATCACGAGTAACAGTAACCATCACGAGTAACAGTAACCATCACGAGTAACAGTAACCATCACGAGTAACAGTAACCATCATGAGTAACAGTAACCATCACGAGTAACAGTAATCATCACGAGTAAAAGTAATCACGAGTAAAAGTAATCATCACGAGTAACAGTAATCATCACGAGTAACAGTAATCATCACGAGTAACAGTAATCATCACGAGTAACAGTAATCATCACGAGTAACAGTAATCATCACGAGTAACAGTAATCATCACGAGTAACAGTAATCATCATGAGTAAAAGTAATCATCACGAGTAACAGTAATCATCACGAGTAACAGTAATCATGAGTAACAGTAATCATTATGAGTAACAGTAATAGCTATGGTGAGTAACTGAGTAAGAATGACACAAGCGGGAAGAATCAGGGGACTTGTTACCACATAACTCTACTTCACCATGACTCACAGGATGATGCTGACGTCAACAACAATACGGCGTGACGTCACAATAACACCTTAATGAACGTACATGTTCACCATCAAACCCTATTTGTTCACTATCACCCTATTTTGTTCATTATCACCCTAATCTGTTCACTATCAGACACCTATTTGTTCACTATCACCCCATTTGTTCACTATCAGACCCTATTTGTTCACCATCACCCAATTTTGTTCACTATCAGACCCATTTTGTTCACTATCAGACTATTTGTTTACCATCACACCCTATTTGTTTACCATCACACCCTATTTGTTCACTCAGACCTATTTGTTCACCATCACCCTATTTGTTCACCATCACCCAATTTTGTTCACTATCAGACCCTATTTGTTCACCATCACCCAATTTTGTTCACTATCAGACCCATTTTGTTCACCATCAGACCCATTTTGTTCACTATCAGACCCTATTTGTTCACTATCACCCCATTTGTTCACTATCAGACCCTATTTGTTCACCATCACCCAATTTTGTTCACTATCAGACCCATTTTGTTCACTATCAGACCCTATTTGTTCACTATCACCCTATTTGTTTACCATCACACACTATTTGTTCACTATCACCCCATTTGTTCACTCAGACCTATTTGTTCACCATCACCCTATTTGTTCATCACACAATTTTGTTCACTATCAGACCCTATTTGTTCACCATCGCCCTATTTGTTCACTATCAGACCCATTTTGTTCACTATCAGACCCTATTTGTTCACTATCAGACCCTATTTGTTCACCATCACCCAATTTTGTTCACTATCAGACCCTATTTGTTCGCTTCCAGACCCTAGTTAACCTGTATGTTCACCTTAAGGGACTAAAACAAACACCTTGAGGACCTAAAACAAACACACATAGTGGGCCTAAAACAAACACACAAACACACCTTGAGGCCCTAAAACAAACACACAAACGCACCTTAAGGGACTAAACCAAACACACATTGAGGGCCTAAAACAAACACTTCCTTTCCACGTCACTTGTTATGATGAGTGTGTGAGTGACTGTGTGTGTGTGTGTGTGTGTATGAGTGACTGTGTGTGTGTGTGTGTGTGTGAGTGACTGTGTGTGTGTGTGTGTGTGTGTGTGTGTGATGCAAGCCTAGTAATCCCGTCTCGTCCACAAGGCTCAACTATCTCACAATCTGCACACCTAACTGCCGTATATTTAACCTAACCGACCTACCGTAAATAACGACAACTAACGTAAATAACGACAATCACTTTTCCAATCACCAAACACCAATATAAATTACTTTTCCAATCACCAACACCACTATAAGCACTTTTCCAATCACTAACACCAATATAAATCACCTTTCCAATCACCAATATAAATTGCTTTTCCAATCACCAACACCATTATAAGCACTTTTTCAATCACCAACACCACTATAAGCACTTTTTCAATCACCAAAACCAATATAAACAGTTTTCCAATCACCAATATATTCATTTACAATCACCAATATATATAATTTTCAATCACAAACACCATTATAAGCATTTCCAATCACCAACATCATCATAAATAAATTTTCCAATCACCACCACAAACCAGCTGTCGATTTAACATGTTTAATTTATGGATTAACTTTAAGACGAAGTTAAAATCGTCACAAATGTTTTATTGTGTCACTTTACAAACGCATGTAACCACATACTTGGGCCGCTTAAACTACGACACAACGACAGCTGGTTACATTTTCTCTACAATTATTTATCAATTAAAATCATAACCTAACCTAAGATTAGTGTGGTAAGGTTGTTTGAATTAGGTTAAAGTCTTAGATTACCGTGTTCAAATAGGGGTTAAGATCCTTACAGCATAATTTAATGGGGTTAAGACAAGAGTGAGGGCTTAGGACGTCTTTTACTGAGGGTCTATTCAAGGGAGGGGCCCAGTGGAGCATGGCGAAGTAAGAGGCGCTGACGAAGGTTCCTACGTGAGGGAACCAAGGTAGTGGCTGACTGCGTGACCACTACTTGCCACACAGACACACACAACTTTCCACTGATGCTGTGTGTGTGTGTGTGTCGGTTTTGTAACTCCACCACCACCCAACCTCGAGGTTATCCACGCACACACCCTCCCTACCAACACGCATTAACTACCACAAACTATCAATTAGACTCTCCTGGGATTGTTAGGTTGGTGTAGTTGTGAAAAAATACCAATGTAGGGTAGTTACAAGGCGATTAAGTTAGGGTGTGATCAGTATTTACACATCAATTCCTCAAACCATGGTCTACACAGCCACAACTTCTTCCTAAAGACGTCTCCCCCAATTTCACCATGTTTACCTGACGTGAGAAAAACAGGACTCACAAGTAAAGGTTTAACTCAGATCCTTCACAATACCTGATAAAGTTGTGGGCAAGTGTAGCCAACAAGTCCGTCACAGATGGGGGAGTAAATCCAAGCACAAAGCGTCCAAGTATCTGCTGTATCCTGCAGGGAATAGAGCGCCTTAGAACACTAGTTCACAGTTCACCGCCTGAGAAGTAACTGAGCTCTCTGGGCGACGACTGGCTATAACGAAAGAACTTTCTGGCCGCCGCCATGGAGGCTACGCAATCATCCACCCGGAGTGGAGTGCGCGCTGTTCTGGCAGCTTCTGGCAACCCACACAAAGCCTTGGCAATTCTTGTCGTCTGCTGACGCTGCATTTATGATGAAGCCAGCTGGACCCACCTCGTCCACTATGAGTAAGTAATGTTCGTGTTCAAATTATAAAAACAACAAGTGGAATTTGCAATATAAAACGGTCAGAAAGGCGATATAAGGGATGTTCATGGCGGCATCACGTGTACACAGCTGACGTAAGTGTGCGTCATGACTCGCCAGCCAGTCGTGACGTCAGAGATGCGTCATCACCCAACCCACCAATAGGAGGCCGGGACTGGGTTCCTGCCAGAACATCACCATCCTTTTCCCAGTGACTAAACGTAAAAGGAAAATATCCAGGAATTAACTATGACGTCTTGGGGCTACATAAAATACATCGAACTAAATCTTAAATAAAAGCCCCGACACTCACATCTTGACGCCGGAAATACAACACAAAGTAGATATTGAAGTGATAACTGTGGTAACATTATGAGATGTACTTATTACCATCATGCTATTGTACTATTCCAGATGATACTAAATGTTACATAATACTTCCTTGAGATAAATGTATAGTATATATCAAGTGCAGCTCAGGTTCTCAACTGGCTCAGCCATGTTAATATTGTTATTATTATCCACTCTGTATCTGTGTTCTTATGGCTAAATTAACTGTTACAATTCAAAGGGTAGAAATGGCACACAGGGTGGAAATATGGAGTAACAGCACACGATGGTAATGACGTCAAAATTATTATGGCAACAAGTGGGAGAGTGTTAGCACGAGGTGGCAACGAGGAGCATAGCCTGGACACGTCACCACCTCACCACACGTCACTCACCCCTTCCGTCACTCACTCCCTCCCTCCCAGCCACTTATTCCTACCCCCCAGATTCTCAAGGATTCTTACGTTGATTTCCCCCCCCGCTGGATATAACAAAACGTGGATAATTCTATAACATTCTGGGTTAAATTCCCACGTTATTTTAGCCGCCATTTTGATGTCACATGAAAAATAAGACCTTACAAAATTCAGCTCCATTTCCCAGATAACTTTTACCGATGACTAAATACAACTAAAATACTTAAAACACTTAGGAAATACAGCTAATAATTCTCGATACGATATTCAGAAGAAAAAAATAACCAAGAAACAGTATTAAGATAATTATTATAATTTGTTTTAAATATATTGAGTCACCGTCCTAAGAATCGCAATGGCGTCACGTCACAGGAAGTCCAAACCATTTTTCTACAATCGGACTTTAACTCCACAAATTTTCACCCACTATAAGTAAATCCAATAAATAAACATTTATATATAAACTAAAGTGATTGTTTGATTACGTTTTCATGCACTATAACAATGGATATATAAATCATACGTCTGGCAGCACAACTATATAAGACAGCGGTGCCAAACGTACGATTGATTTCACACTACCTCAGCTAACCTAACAAACTTAACTTAACCTAACCTAACCCCAACCTAACTTAACTAAACTAAACCTTTCCTAACTTAACTTAACCGGAAATCATTAAAATTAACGTACAATTTATTTCCCATTTCAGATACTTAGAAATTCAAGGTAGAGAAAAACATGATAAATAGAAATTAAAACAAAATAAAGAAATAAAATAAGAAAAATGAAGAGAAATAAAGACGGAAATAAAGTTAGATAGAGAAATTAACGATATATACGGGGCGCTCCACCACCCTAACGCCAACCTAAGCTAACCGGGACACCGGACCCCACACCTGACTGAACGCAGAGGAAGGCGAGTGACGTCATTAGAGTGGTAGCTAAGGCCGGGCTGAGCGAACAAGTTGATTTCCCGTTACATTGGTACCCTGCCACCTGCCGCCCTCCTACACTGGTACCCTGCCACCTACCACACCTCCTACACTGGTACTCTGCCACCTACCACACCTCCTACACTAGTACCCTGCCACCTACCACACCGGTACCCTGCTACCAACCGCCCCTCCTACACTGCCACCTACCACACCGATACCCTCCCACCTACCACACTGGTTCCCCACACCTACACTGGTACCCTGCCACCCACCACACCTCTGTGCCCTCCACCTACCACACTGGTACCCTGCCACCTACCACACCTCCTACACTGGTACCCTGCCACCTACGGTTCCATGACAAAACCCCAACGGAGTTGTCATTTATCAACACTAATCCAACCTAACCTAACCTAAACATAAAAGTGTTTTATTTTATATTTTATATATGAGACACGGGTTTTGTCCGTTGGGGTTTTATCCGGTTACCGCCACCTACCGCCCCTCCTACACTGGTACCCTGCCACCTACTGCCCCTCCTACACTGGCACCCCACCCACCCACACCCTCCCCTCCTACACTGGTACCCTGCCACCTACCGCCCTCCTACACTGGTACCCTGCCACCCACTGCCCTCCCACACTGGCACCCCTGCCACCTACACTGGTACCCTGCCACCTACTGCCCACACTGCCCCCTGCCACCCACTGCCCTGCCACTGGCACCTACCCCACCACCACCACCTCCTACACGGTACCCCTGCCACCCACTGCCCCCCACACTGGCACCCTGCCACCCACTGCCCCTCCTACACTGGTACCCTGCCACCTACTGCCCCTCCCACACTGGTACCCCTGCCACCTACCACCACACCACCACCTACCACCACCACCACTACTACAACCACCACCTACCACCCCTCCTACACCACCACCACTACTACAACCACCACCACTATCACCACCCCTCCTACACCACCACCACTATCACCACGAGTTCATGATTACTTCGTCTACTCTGAAAAGGTCACAATATGCCCACAATACCTACAACACATTCCTACCATTGGTACTTTACACATCACAGAGTATTAAAGGAATGTAAGGAAGTGCTTAATATGTCTTTAGCAAATTTGTTTAACCTGTCATTTAAAAACGGGTGTAGTACCAGACTCCTGGAGGACAGCGAATGTAATACCGATTTTCAAGAAGGGAGATAGATCACTATCCTCTAACTACCGTCCAATCAGTCTAACATCAATTGTAGGCAAATTACTGGAAGCAATAATTTCAAACTATTCGAAATCACATGGAGAAGCACAAGTTGATCAATGATTCCCAACATGGCTTCACAAGTGGACGTTCATGTCTGACTAATCTATTAAAAAAAATTATTAGTGGACGAGGGGCACAGTTATGATGTGGTATATCTAGACAGAGTCCCTCACGAAAGACTAATAAGAAAAGTGGAGGCTCATGGCACTGGAGGAGATATTTTAAACAGGATTAGGGCGTGGTTACAGGACAGGAAACAGAGAGTGAGCATTAACGGCACTAAATCCCACTGGGGTAACGTCACTAGTGGAGTACCCCAAGGCTCAGTACTTGGACCATTATAGTTTATTATGTATATAAACGACATAGATATCGGCGTAAACTTAAGTAAACTTGCTGATGACACTAAAATAGGACGTGTAATTAAATCTGATGAAGTTTAATGTGGACTAATGTAAAGTACTTAGTCTAGGAGATGCAAACAGGGATACCAGATCCCAGATGAACAACGATGTTATAGAGAAATCCGACTGAAAGAAAGATTTAGGAGTAATGATAAGTAGGAATCTTAAACCAAGTCAACAACGTGTATTTGCTCGAAACAAGGCTAATAGAGTACTTGGGTTCACACAAAGTAGTGTTAGTTACAAGACTAGCGAGGTCATCCTAAAACTATATCCTGCGCTTGTTAGACCTCACTTGGCTTACGCAGTTCAATTCTGGTCACCGTACTACAGAATGAATATAGAATCCCTAGAAAGAATTCAGAGGAGAATGACAAGACTAATCCCGGGCATTAGGAACCTTGAGTACAGAGACAGGTTAAAGCATCTTAATTTGCACTCCCTCGAGAGACGTAGAGTGAGGGGCGATATGATAGAGGTGTATAAGTGGAAGGCAGGGCTAAACAAAGGTGACATTACAAAGGTGCTCAAACTATCCAACCAGGAGCGAACTCGTAACAATGGTTTTAAATTAGTAAATTAGACATTTATATTTAGGCGCGAAATAGGTAAACGTTGGTTTGGAACGAGTTGGTGGACGAGTGGAACACGTTACCAAACATAATCATTAACTCTAATACGCTGGATAGCTTCAAACATACAGTAAGCTGGATGGATATATGAGTGATAGAGGCTGGGTGTAAACGGGACTGCCCAGTATGGCCCGCTGCAGTTTCCTCCATTCTTATGTTTACACACCACAGCACATCCCTACATTAGTACTTATACACATCACAGCACATCCCTACCCTCTTACTTAACACCCAATCCTTATCGAGTATCGTATCTCGGGGAAAAAAACCGATTCTAACATGGCCAAGACAACAAAAGGGGCTTGGTGACGTGTTCCATTTCGTTCGTTCCACTTGTTCCAAAACTTCATTTCCCATTCCAATGTTTAACTGCTGCATTTCCTTCCTCACCTCCTTTAACCTACTATTACACTCTACTACCACCATTACCACACATGCAGAGAGAGAGAGAGAGAGAGAGAGAGATACACAAACATCTTCAAAACCAACCCGTTAAATGTGTGTGTGAGACAGAGAGAACTCGTAGAGATAAACGCTGGTCAGGTGTCTCTCAAGCGGTGGCAGCCAATCAGTCCAGCCATACCTGGGAAAAACAGAACACACACACCACGCGTCAAGACAGTGCTATACCACAGTTCACAAGACATGTGTTATAATAATAATAATAATAATAATAAGACGACTATTCCTATGACTACTACAGTACTTCTATTAATACTACTACCAATAATAATAACAATAGTAATAATAGTAATACTACTACAACTACTAATAATAATAACAATAATAATAATAATAATAATAATAATAATAATAACAATAATTTCCATAAATAATGTACAAACAAATAAAATATTCCTTTCATCATCATATTAACAAAAGAAACATAACCTGCATTCATTATACACTATAACCTGCATTCATTATACACTATGACCTGCATTCATTATACACTATGACCTGCATTCATTATCCACTATGACCTGCATTCATTATACACTATAACCTGCATTCATTATCCACTATGACCTGCATTCATTATCCACTATGACCTGCATTCATTATACACTATAACCTGCATTCATTATCCACTATGACCTGCATTCATTATACACTATAACCTGCATTCATTATACACTATGACCTGCATTCATTATCCACTATGACCTGCATTCATTATACACTATAACCTGCATTCATTATCCACTATGACCTGCATTCATTATCCACTATGACCTGCATTCATTATCCACTATGACCTGCATTCATTATACACTATAACCTGCATTCATTATACACTATAACCTGCATTCATTATCCACTATGACCTGCATTCATTATACACTATAACCTGCATTCATTATACACTATAACCTGCATTCATTATCCACTATGACCTGCATTCATTATACACTATAACCTGCATTCATTATACACTATAACCTGCATTCATTATCCACTATGACCTGCATTCATTATACACTATAACCTGCAGTCATTATACACTATAACCTGCATTCATTATACACTATGACCTGCATTCATTATCCACTATGACCTGCATTCATTATACACTATGACCTGCATTCATTATCCACTATGACCTGCATTCATTATACACTATAACCTGCAGTCATTATACACTATAACCTGCATTCATTATCCACTATGACCTGCATTCATTATACACTATAACCTGCATTAATTATACACTATAACCTGCATTCATTATCCACTATGACCTGCATTCATTATACACTATAACCTGCAGTCATTATACACTATAACCTGCATTCATTATAACCTGCATTCATTATCACTATGACCTGCATTCATTATACACTATAACCTGCATTCATTATCCACTACTATACCATTCATTATACACTATGACCTGCATTCATTATACACTATAACCTGCATTCATTATCCACTATGACCTGCATTCATTATACACTATAACCTGCATTCATTATACACTATACCTGCACATTATACACTAACCTGCATTCATTATACTATAACCTGCATTCATTATACACTATAACCTGCATTCATTATACACTATAACCTGCATTCATTATACACTATGACCTGCATTCATTATACACTATAACCTGCATTCATTATACACTATGACCTGCATTCATTATACACTATAACCTGCATTCATTATACACTATAACCTGCATTCATTATACACTATAACCTGCAGTCATTATACACTATAACCTGCATTCATTATACACTATAACCTGCAGTCATTATACACTATAACCTGCATTCATTATACACTATGACCTGCATTCATTATACACTATGACCTGCAGTCATTATACACTATAACCTACAGTCATACACTATAACCTGCAGTCATTATACACTATAACCTGCAGTCATTATACACTATAACCTGCAGTCATTATACACTATGACCTGCATTCATTATACACTATAACATGCAGTCATTATACACTATAACCTGCAGTCATTATACATTATAACCTGCATTCATTATACACTATACCTGCATTCATTATACACTATGACCTGCAGTCATTATACACTATAACCTGCAGTCATTATACACTATAACCTGCAGTCATTATACACTATAACCTGCAGTCATTATACACTATAACCTGCATTCATTATACACTATAACCTGCATTCATTATACACCATTCATACACTATAACCTGCAGTCATTATCACTATGACCTGCATTCATTATAACATATTATAACCTGCATTCATACACTATAACCTGCAGTCATTATGCAGCCTGCATTCATTATACACTATAACCTGCATTCATTATAACCTGCATTCATTATCACTATGACCTGCATTCATTATACACTATAACCTGCATTCATTATCCACTATGCTATGACCTGCATTCATTATCCACTATGAACCTGCATTCATTATACACTATAACCTGCAGTCATTATCATTATTCATTATCACTATGACCTGCATTCACACTATAACCTGCATTCATTATACTATAACCTGCATTCATTATCCACTATGACCTGCATTCATTATACACTATAACCTGCATTCATTATCCACTATGACCTGCATTCATTATACACTATGACCTGCATTCATTATCCACTATGACCTGCATTCATTATACACTATAACCTGCAGTCATTATACACTATAACCTGCATTCATTATCCACTATGACCTGCATTCATTATACACTATAACCTGCATTCATTATACACTATAACCTGCAGTCATTATCCACTATGACCTGCAGTTATTATACACTATGACCTGCAGTCATTATACACTATAACCTGCATTCATTATCCACTATGACCTGCATTCATTATACACTATGACCTGCATTCATTATCCACTATGACCTGCATTCATTATCCACTATGACCTGCAGTCATTATACACTATAACCTGCAGTCATTATCCACTATGACCTGCATTCATTATACACTATGAATACATTATGTATACGAGGACAGCAGCTAGTTTATTGTGCACCACCATAGGGAGTGCGTATGTGTGGGTGGCTGTAAGTACCAGGGTAGGGATGTGTTGTGATGTGCAAGGGTATTGTTACACACACACACACACTCATTACATTACACACACACATTACAATACATACACACACACACATTACAACACACACGCACTTCTCTTTACCCCCACCCTCCTCCTCCTCTTTACCCCCACCCTCCTCCTCCTCCTCTTTACCCCCCTCTCTCCTCCTCTTTTACCCCCCACCCTCCTCCCTCTTTACCCCCACTCTCCTCCTCCTCTTTACCCCCCTCTCCTCCTCCTCTTTTCCCCCCACCCTATCCTCCTCCCTCTTTACCCCCACCCTCCTCCTCCTCCCCTCTTTACCCCCCCACCTCTCCTCCTCCTCTTTACCCCCACCCTCCTCCTCCTCCTCTTTACCCCCACTCTCCTCCTCCTCTTTACCCCCACCCCATCCTCCTCCTCCCTCGCCACTCTTCTCAGGAAATCAATGGAGGTGAAGTGGGATTTCGTAGACACGTAAGGAGGAAGAGGAGGAAGAGGAGAGAGAGGAGGAAGAGGAAGATGGGGAGGAGGAAGAGGAGAAAGAAGAAGAGGAGGAGAAAGAGGAAGAAGAGGAGGAGGATCGAGAAGAGGTCAAGTGAAATACTATTATAATAATAATAATAATAATAATAATAAAAATAATAATAATAATAATAAAAATAATAACAACAATAATAGTAATAATAATAATAATAATAATAATAAAAATAATAACAATAATAATAATAACCAGCACCATAACCACCACAATTATCACCACTTCCACAACCACTATTACCCCCACCAAAGCCCTTAACCACAATCACTAACAGAACTACAATCACTACCACAATTAATACCCCCCCCCTCGGATGAACGGACGGAAAAAGAATGCATTCATAACTCCCCGCCGGGACAGCTGGGGGGGGAGTAAAGGGAGGGGGGGAGGGTGTTTCTGTGGGCCAAGCGCGTAAAAATAACTATGGTGGAAAGTAAGACAACCACACTACTACTACTACTACTACTACTACTACTACCACCACCACACTACCACAACCACACCACTACCACCACAACAGATCGCTATAAGAACAGTCCAGTCCCAACCATTGTAAAAATTATCAACAGTTCGTAATCAACCAGTGTATTCACCCCCAGTCAATCTTACCTTTTTACACTGTCACTGTTGAAATTCCCTGTAGTTTGACCTTCTCCCCACCTAGTTATTACAGATCATATTTGTATCACTTATGTTACTTGTATATTATTTATCAATCAAGTGAGCCATTCACCAATAATTATGTGACTGTATATTTTCAGCCTTCCGGATGCCATGCTCTTCCAATAAACCGTTAATTATTATTACTATTATTATTATTATTATTATTATTATTACCACCACCACCACACTACCACTAACACCACTACCACCACCACCACACTACCACTATCACCACTCCAAGTCCATACCACTACCACAACTACCACTATTAACCTCAAGTCTACACCACCCAGTCCTAACAGGCCCCAACTAACCTATCCAGATCGGGCCCCAATTCAAAAGGGTAAGGTCAGGTTAGGTTAGGTTAGATTAGATTAGATTAGGTTAGGTCAGGTCAGGTTAGGGTGTTAAATCATCAGGTGAAATATTTAGTCAACAAACAAAACACACACACACGCGCGCGCGCACACACACACCACGTCAGGTCCCTCCTAACACCATCTGTGAGGGAATTACTACACCACGTCAGGTCCCTCCTAACACCATCTGTGAGGGAATTACTACACCACGTGAGGTCCCTCCTAACACCATCTGTGAGAATTACTACACCACGTGAGAGTCCCTCTAACACCATCTGTGTGAGGAATTACTACCACGTGAGGTCCTCCTAACACATCATGAGGGAATTACTACACCACGTGAGGTCCCTCCCTAACACACCATCTGTGGGGAATTACTACACCACGTCAGGTCCCTCATACACCATCTGGGAGGAATTACTACACCACGTCAGGTCCTCTAACACCATCTGTGAGGAATTACTACACACCACGTGAGGTCCTCCTAACACCATCTGTGAGGGAATTACTACACACGTGGTCCTCCTAACACCATCTGTGAGAATTACTACACCGTGAGGTCCTCTAACCATCTGTGAGGAATTACTACACCACGTCCAGGTCCCTCCTTACACCATCTGGGAGGGAGTTACTACACTACGTGTTTGCTGTTCAACACCTACATTAATCTGTATGTTCACTGTATGTTCCTTTACCTTTCTCTAATGAAGGCTTTTGTTAAACCACCAATGTATGTAATAAGTCATTTATGTCCAATGTATATTTTCAGCCTCCGGGCTGCAGAACTTTTTCAATAAACCGTTAATTATTATTATTATTACACACACACAAGCGCGCACACACGCGCACACACACAAGCGCGCACGCACGTACACACACACTTAGGTCACTTGGGACACCCACGCCAGAGCTGAGGACCATCTACAACGCCTTTATTCTCCCCAAACTAACGTATGCGTCACCAGCCTGGTCGTCTTCTCTCAACTCCACCCAACAACGTCGGCTAGAGAAGGTACAGAAAAGGGCCTGCAGACTCATGCTCGGCGCAGAATACTCCGGCTACACCAACGCTCTCTCCACCCTGGAAATGCCATCCCTGAGTGACCTCCACCACCAAGCACTGGAAAGGTTTGGCAGCCAACTAATGCACCACCCTCGCCATCGCCACCTCCTGCCACCGGCAGCCCCCCACCCAACTCGCGCAGTCCGCCAATACAAAAAAATTCAGTCCATAAGAGCCCGCACCGATAGATATAAGAATAGCACCATCCCATCTATTGTTAAAATAATAAACAACTCCTGATTTATGTACTGTACAGCCCTGTAAATGTATTCAACGCATATTATATCATTATGTCTAAATCAAATGTAAGCCTGTATATTTTCAGCCACCGGCTGCAACTCTATTAATAAACCGTTTATTATTATTATTATTATTATCCTTGACCACCGAAGGGTCAAGACATACCTGGCGCCCCTCTGGGAGAAGCCAGGTCAACTGTTATGTTGGCCCATACCAACTCCCTCCCCTGAACCCTCCTCCCCACCGGAATATCAACAAGTTCTCGCCAGAAATTAATATTTCATTTAGGAAAGGAATGGAACCAGTGGTGAACAGTGAGAACAACTCAACAGTAACAGCAGAGTATTATCCAAGTTAATCTTCACACAGTGAGGTCCCAGGTACCCAGTGATAAGACCCAACAACAAGCAGTGATGTGGTAAACCGTCCAAGATAGGAAGGCCTGGGACCACACCTCACTCATATAACACCATCTGTCAGGGAGTTACTACACCACGCCAGGTCCCTCATAACACCATCTGTGAGGGAATTACTACACCACGCCAGGTCCCTCATAACACCATCTGTCAGGGAGTTACTACACCGCCAGGTCCCTCATAACACCATCTGTCGGGAGTTACTACACCACGCCAGGTCATAACACCTGCATCTGTCGGGGAGTTACTACACCACGCCAGGTCCTCATAACACCATCTGTCAGGGGTTACTACACCACGCCAGGTCCTCATAACACCATCTGTCAGGGAGTTACTACACCACGCCAGGTCCTCATAACACCATCTGTGAGGAATTACTACACCACGCCAGGTCCTCATAACACCATCTGTCAGGGAGTTACTACACCGCCAGGTCCTCCTGCCTGTCTGTCGGGAATTACGACACCACGT